TTAGCGCACCTTTTTTCGCATTTTAAGAAAGCTCTAAAAAGCTAATATTAACCAATTTCTATTTCAAAAGTTGTTTTTCTAGGTAATTTTAGAGCGTAGAATCGAAATTTTGACATATCAGAGCTTGTGGAAGCGAATGGACGGAGTTATACAAAGAGAAAGATCGACAATTTTCTGTTTTGTCTTTCAAATTGGTTCCACAAGCTCTGATATGTCAAAATTTCGATTCTACGCCCTAAAATTACCTAGAAAAACAACAGGAATAGAAATTGGTTAATATTAGCTTTTTAGAGCTTTTAGAGCTTTAAAACGCGAAAAAAGGTGCGCTAATGGGCAAGGTGCTTTGTTTTGTAGCTTGTTAGCTGAATATCTTGTGTGAAGTTGCCTATATAAGGCAACTGTTGTTCATTTGATGAGGGTGGGACAAATGCGACCTTTTTTTTTGCTGGAAAAGGCCTTAGGCAAGGCCGTAGAGCTTCGAAAATATTTCCATATAAAGGAATCGTATGCGTAGAATCCGAATTTCAAAAAAAAGGTGCGCAAATGTCCGGGTGCGCAAAAAAAGGTCGCATTTGTCCCACTCCCATCGAAAACTACTATTTTATTACAGATTCAACAAAAAATCAAATCCAAACAAATTAAAGTTTGCAGAAAACAAATCAAAAATCAGCCTTCACCCACCTCTTAATCCCCAATTGACCAAATCATAAATCAAATCATAAATCAAATCATAAACCAAATCCCCAAACTCGAGCACCAGCTCAGCTAATCGATCGATAAATTTATAAGCAACTTGTGCAATAAAGGGCAAAAGCACGAGTGAAAAGAGGAGATCCACAACACAAAACATCTCTCGAATGAATGATGAATCAGCAAAGATGTGAAGGGATGGACAGGGCTGGGAGGGACAACAGTCCTGAGCCCCTTTCCACCCTCCATTAAGCCTTTCTTTTCATATCTCCGTTTTTCATCTTTCATTCAATATTTCTTTATCCTCATTCATTGGATCATCATTTATTGGATTGTATTGAAGATGAAACAAATGCTCTTTACGGGAAAAAGTTAGTCTTTTGAATGTATTGGGTTGGTGAATTGAAAACCGCGGGCTATTGTCATATGTGACAGCTTGAGCACTTTCTTCAAAAGAAACCCATTTTGGTGTCAATGGAAAAGTTGTAGAGAATCAAAAATCAAGCTTATATCCAAATTTTCAGAACGATTCAAAAACTGATTTTCAAGAAATGCCAAATTTAAGAAAGAAATGCCAAATTTTCACAAAAGTTGCATTTTAAGCGAAACTACTAAGTGTATCTTATTGCAAATTTGGCTATAAGCCTAATTTTTGATTCTCTACAACTTTTCTATTAACACCAAAATGGGTTTCTTTTGAAGAAAGTGCTCAAACTGGGACATCTCCAGTTTCCATCTCCAGTCCTCGATTTTTGAGTCTCACACTTGTCTCACACACAAACCAAAATCCTACTACGAAAGAGGCATCCGCAAATTGCCTGTAAAATGGGCAGAAGTCGTCAATAATAATGGAATTATAATAATTATAGAATATTTGAAATGAATTCATGGTTTTATGTTGAATAAATTTTAGTTCAAAGTCCCGCAGTTTTCAATTCACCAACCCAATAGTTTCAAGGCTTTGATCTAACTTTAATTTTTTTATTTTGACTTTCTAATCCACGTTTGTTTAGAAATTGAGGATCTTCAAACGGCTAATAGGCTAGAAATGAAGTCGTTTAACTTGCTGATCCCTTTGGAGTCAATTGAAAAGACAGTATAGGATGAGAAACGGCGTCAATGGTGATCTTTGGGACAATCATTTTTATGAGATCTTGTGAAAATGTTAGCGAAAACACAAGAAAATTAAAATGCCATTGGCTAAATTGAGGCCACGCGCATAGCCCCCAAAATGGCAGTAATCCCTCGTTTCAGGAACCGACCTAAACGACGAGCAGTATTGGATTGTGCGCAACTAGTGGGGAGCTAACTGGGGCGAACTCGGTTATCTCAGGGTGAGAGATTCAATTCTGAAACACTGATGATCAATTCTGAAAATTTTATGAACACACACAAACCAAAATCCTACTACGAAAGAGGAATCCGCAAATTGCCTGTAAAATGGGCAGAAGTCGTCATTAATAATGGAAATTATTTGGAATGAATTCATGGTTTTATGTTGAATAAATTTTAATTCAAAGTCCCGCAGTTTTCAATTCACCAACCCAATCATCAAACCTTTTTCTGATTTACAGTCGACTCTCGATGTAACGATTCTGTTGAGGCCGCGAAATCGAAACGTTATATCGAAAATCTTTGTATAGAAGTAAAAAAAGCTAAGGCTTTTAACGCAAATCGTTATATCGAGTTACAATGAACCGTTTATCAACAACAAAAACAAACATAACCTCAAAGTTTAGCGAAAAGATCTATAATGTGAGACTTCTTATTTTTCGTTAAAGATTCCTGATGAAAAAAAGTTATAAAGAACAGTTAAAGCAGCAAAAACTTCTGAATAGCCTTTTTTCTTGTATAGTTTTGAAATTTTTGAAAACATTGTTAAGCTTCGCGGCGTGAAATCGTTCGTTCTGGTCCCACCAACTCCTCGTTTTCACTTTCGAGAGGAATTGTCGGCTCCTCGAAGTATTTTATGGTATTTGTAAAGAAATATTCTTTGCTACGAGAGAAGAGTGTTACATCGAACTCGCTTAGAAAATTTTTGAAGTAAACTTTGAAAAATCTATATCAAATCTGTATCAAATCATCAACTCAAATCTGTATTAACGATTTTAACAACACTAACCAAAAGGATAGTTTTCGGGTGATATGACAAAGAAAAGCATATCGTGAACTTAATCAAATAAGCGTAAACGACAAAAAGGTCACAAAAACAATGGACAAAAGTCTTGGCGGCACAGACATAGAGGTGAAAAATTCATATTTTGTAGGTCCGCCTTTAGCTGCAATGACCGCTTGGAGCCTCTGTCATACCGTCAACTAGATCGCGTAAAATTTGTGGCGCAATTGTCGCTCAAACTCGCCGTACGAAGTACCAAAGATCCGCCTTAGAGCTAAACCGTCTTCCCTTGAGTTTCGTCTTGATAAACGCCCATAGGTGTTCAGTAACATTCAAATCGGGGCTGTATGGAGAAGCTGAAACGAGTTGATCATTGATCAATCATTGATCAATCATTGATCAATCATTGATCAATCATTGATCAATCATTGATCAATCATTTATCAATCATTAATCAATCATTGATCAATCATTGATCAATCATTGATCATCCTCGTTTAGTTTTTATTTAATTATTTGCACTCGTAGAATTTGCAAAGCATAATCTCCATTTATTTAACAGAAACAATAAATAAAATAAACATAAAAAACTTCCTGTACCAACTTGTTTCACTTGCTTAAATTTTGAGTATCTCTAAGAGAAATATTTCTAAGAGTTACAGAGCTTTCTGGATTTGAAATTGATTTTGATTAAAGTGCAAGTGAAACCAAATGCTTTGCTGATTTGTTGAGAGATTTTCGTAATATTCGTTCCTAGCTATAAACGGATGTGGACTAGAAGTTGGGTTAAGTTAAAGAGAGTGGCTCCCTTTTTGATATCCCGCCATCTCTAACACCCCGACAACCCAACTCAACTCCTCCAACGCATTAGAGGGGAGTCCCTGTGAAATGACCGACCTGTACTGCAGTTGCATAGACCCGGAAGATATGTATCTTTATTTACAGTAGTACAATAAGCCGAATAGATTACAAATGAGTGTAAGGGGAAGGGGGACTCCAAATGAGAGTCTCACTTGTCCTCCTAGGCTCCTCACTGTCCTCCTAGGCTCCTCACTGTCCTTCTAGGCTCCTCACTGTCCTCCTAGGCTCCTCACTTGTCCTCCTAGGCTCCTCACTTGTCCTCCTAGGCTCCTTACTTGTCCTCCTAAGCTCCTTACTTGTCCTCCTAAGCTCCTCACTGTCCTCCTGGGCAATCCCAAGGACCGCCCCTTCTCGGCAATAAAAGGGATAAGCACAGGGGAGGACACATTTGCATAAGAATAGACAAATCATTCAATAATAACAATAGTAACAAAAATATCAGTTTGACTCGGAGCTGACAGTAATAAAGTTTTCTTTAATTCTATCAGTCTATCAAGCAAGAAGAAAAAGTCTATAAAGGTTAAATTTCAAAAACGTTGATTCGACAACCTTAAAAAGCCGGAAAACTCTGATATTTTTCCTTTATTGAGCATAAATTCGCACAGCTTTATCAATTCCGGATATTCTTGAGGCGTCTCTTTCTTCTTATCAATCACCGCTCACCCATTCGATTTCTTGCCTTTCTTTCTCTTTTTGGTTTTCATTTATGGGTCTCCTCCCGATTTTATTCGTCTATTTATATATTTCCTTTGCTTCCACACAACAAATCGAGGTCTACTAATTTACACTTGTAAAAAGTATTGTATTAACCGCATATTGGAAGGGTTATTGCCACCGTCCCGTTTGCCATTGGCATTCTAACTTTGAGCTCAAATATCTCGACTTTGAGTTGTCCAATTTAAATATTCTTGTTTTCATTAGATACGCCAAGTCTTTCTCTATTGATTGGTACAAAAACTATTTAAATTGGACAGCCCAACACCAAGTTATTGAAGTTCAAAGTTGGATTGCCAATGGCAAAAGGGGCGGAGTGCAATGTCCCATAATTTATTGAAATTGCTTTACACTCAAGGACATCTTGAACACATTTTAAATGCCAGATGTAGATTTGAAAATGAATTTCCCACGAATAAGTGTACTTTGTCCACCGTAGTCTCCAGTAAGGCCCTATCCTGATCTAACGTAATCAAATCTCTTTCACCAAAGGAGCCAGATTTGCTAGTTTTCTCAAAAAAGCATCTTTAAGTCTTATTAAGTTTCTATCTGTCTGATACTATAGTACAGTAAGCATCATATCGAGGAGTAAGGCTTAAGGCAGGCTACTCTGGCGGCAATGGGATACGTATCGGTGTAACTCATTGGTAGAGCGTTCGTCCGGTAAGCGAGAGGTCGCGGAACAGATAGAAACTTAATCCCGATCGTTCAAAACTCGGCTATGTTTTGTATTCCTCAGCGCCAACCTCATAAGAGGACCCATAAAAGTGTCGAACTCTACCATCGATGTATCTAACTATCAGGATGGATATGACTCGGATGCCTATGAAACGATTCAAGTTGTGCCCTATGTTTCGGGGGTTCGACTAGAGAACATACCGGATGAGGAGCCGGCTTTTCTCGGGCACACGTAAGTTAAAAGAGCTGTAGATTTCGATTTGTTTTGTTTTGTGACTTGCTACAGTATGCTGGAACTGGTGAAATAGTTGAACAGTTGAACAGTTGAATAGCTATCGATGTATATGTTGTAGCCGTTTACGAAATTCAGCCGCTAACGAATGAGGGTATTTCCGGGCATCCAATCAAAAAGTCACTCACATAAAAAATGTTCATAATACATATATTTTATAATCAATTTTTGAAATTAGCTCATTTGGTTCAGTAGAAAAATTTTTTTGAGCCCCCAAAGTTTAGGTTGAAAAATGCCCTAAAATGGCTATAAAAGATTTTCTACTCAGCCAAAAAACTTGCCTAATAGCTCATTTTGTAGCCAATTTGATGTAGTTTTTTAAAGTAAAGCCATCTAAAACAATTTTTCGTTGAAAGTAGGAGAAAGAGGGCAAGGAACAAATTCAGGGCAACTCTCAAATGTGAAAACAGCGACCGAGTTCAACTGAAGTCGTTCCTCGCCCTCTTTCTCCTAGCTTTGAAAAACAAATGTTCAATGTCGCTTTACTTTAGGAAACTACATCAATTTGGCTACAAAACGAGCCATTAGGCAAGTTTTTTGGCTAAGTAGAAAATCTTTTATAGCCATTTTAGGGCATTTTTGAACCTAAACTTTGGGGACTCAAAAAAATTTTTCTATTGAACCAAATGAGCTAATTTCAAAAATTGATTATAAAATATATGTATTATGAACATTTTTATGTGGGTGACTTTTTGATTGGATGCCCGGAAATACCCTCATTCGTTAGCGGCTGAATTTCGTAAGCGGCTACGACATATAGCTTTAATTGAATGATTGAAAGATAAGCAGTTGTTCCAGACTGATATCAACACAATATTTAAGATAAAATAGCTCATTGAGCTTTAGTAAAATTGGTGAAACGATCGTCGAGCCGGACACCCTGGCCACAGTGGTTTTGTTCGGGTATTGGATGGACAAGGTGGGAATGAAAATTGTTGAATCACATCTAAACTATCAATCGGATACATTTAAATTATAGATATTTAAAATATAGACATTTAAACTATAGACATTTAAACTATAGACATTTAAACTTTAAATCAATCTAGCTTTCAGATTGAATACGTGACATTCACTGATTCAAACTGTATCACTTCCGAGTTTAACATCAGCAACAAGCAATTCGAGCAACAAACGGATAAAAGAATCGAGATTCGAATGAAGTTTCCAAAGTGAGAAAATTTCGAATCAAAACAACTCAGAAAAATTCAGTATTGAACCCTCTTGGCGAATGTGTATCAAGCAGAAAGGAGTCAATGGGGAATTGTTGATGGTGAGTGTACAATTGTTGAAAACTTGTATTGTTTTCAAAGCTAGGCAAGCTATGAAGTGTCTTTTCTGCTGAAAATGGAAACACACTATTTCTAGCGCACTGAAATCTGTATTTTTTTCAAATGAAAGTAACATTTGTCAAGGCCAGTTGGCCAATAACATTTGTCAAGGCCAAAAATTTGGCCAATTTGGCGAGATTGGGACTCGAACTTGAGAGCAAAAACTTGTAATTGGTTTGAGAGTCTAGAAGACTAGAAGATTATCCATTAGACTAGAAGACTATCTACTAGCCTAAAAGACTATCTACTAGACTAGAAGACTATCACTAGACTAGAAGACTATCCATTAGACTAGAAGACTATTCACTAGACTAGAAGACTATCTACTAGACTAGAAGACTATTCACTAGACTAGAAGACTATCTACTAGACTAGAAGACTATTCACTAGACTAGAAGACTATCTACTAGACTAGAAGACTATTCACTAGACTAGAAGACTATCTACTAGACTAGAAGACTATTCACTAGACTAGAAGACTATCTACTAGACTAGAAGACTATTCACTAGACTAGAAGACTATCTACTAGACTAGAAGACTATTCACTAGACTAGAAGACTATCTACTAGACTAGAAGACTATTCACTCGACCACCGAGACATTTGAGACTCAAGCGTCTGACGATCTCATAAGGAGCTTTTTTGAACAAAGAGTACGCATGCGCATCGAATAACTTACAGTAATCTGTGAGCTTAAAAAAACTGCAATATTATAAAACAATTCTCAGGTAGAAGGCGTGCACACTTACATCACCACCTCAGCCACCATTCGTACTCATTACATGCCGTTTTACCTTCAATGCTCCATCCTTTTTGTTCTCCTTCTGATGTCGGCTCTTTTCTCTGGTTTAAATCTCGGATTGATGAGTTTATCCCTCAACGAGTTGCAGCTTTTGATAACATGTGGTAAATTAGAAGTGAGAATTCTCAAGTTCCAGCTTTCTAGGATCAAAGTCCGAGCGTCGGTACGCGAAAAAAATCCTACCGGTCAGAAGACAAGGGAATCAACTGCTTTGCACGATTCTCTTGATGAATGTTGTGGTAAGTGTTTGAATGAAACAAGTAGTAAGAAAGGCAAAATTGAGCAAACTTTAATAGGAAAAATCGAGCACGATTCCATATTTTTTCAAGAAAGGAAGTCTAGTCTAGTCTAATCGTACGTCAAGTTGTCAATTTTATTAGTTTTTTTGAATACATCTTGACACCATTTCTCATACTTTCGTTTAGAAATGACTATTTCACCGATTGTTATGGTTTCCTCTAAATAGAAAATGTTTATCGTTTGCTTTTCTTTTTTTTTAAAACCAATCTGGACCCGTTTCGAAGCGAATTTAAGCACAAAAATTTGTTTTTGATAAAATCCGATTAAAAGTTCTATAAAGAAATCGGTTAAACAGGAGGGTTTTGCTGGGAATTTGGCTATATGTTTAACTTTTTATGCTCAATCTTTTTTCTATTGACGTTAAAATAGATTTCTGTGGACTAAAGTGGCTAAATTAGGTCATTAGGGAGTCGCAATTTTTGACAATTTGGCAATTTGGCAATTTTTGAGGCAATGCAAACCCAACTTAAGTCAAACTCAACTAGAGTCAAACCCAACTAGAGTCAAACCCAACTTAAGTCAAACCCAACTTAAGTCAAACCCAACTAGAGTCAAACTCAACTTAAGTCAAACCCAACTCCAGTCAAACCCAACTTAAGTCAAACCCAACTAGAGTCAAACTCAACTAGAGTCAAACTCAACTTAAGAGTCAAACCCAACTCAAGGCAAACCCAACTCCAGTCAAACCCAACTAGAGTCAAACCCAACTCCAGTCAAGCCCAACTTAAGTCAAACCCAACTAGAGTCAAACTCAACTTAAGAGTCAAACCCAACTTAAGGCAAACCCAACTCCAGTCAAACCCAACTCGAGTCAAACCCAACTCCAGTCAAACCCAACTCCAGTCAAACCCAACTCCAGTCAAACCCAACTGCAGTCAAACCCAACTCAAGTCAAACCCAACTTAAGTCAAACCCAACTAGAGTCAAACGCAACTTAAGAGTCAAACCCAACTCCAGTCAAACCCAACTCCAGTCAAACCCAACTCCAATCAAACCCAACTCCAGTCAAACCCAACTTAAGTCAAACCCAACTAAAGTCAAACTCAACTAGAGTCAAAAAAATCCGAAAATGAATCCTTTTCAGAAGATTTTTAGCGCTCTTTTTCAGAAAAATAGTTGGCTTTTTTATTAAAGTAAACAGTAAGTCTGTTGGTGAATTGATCATTTCTAAACGGAAGGATGAGAAAAGTCTTCAAGATTCATTCACTAACCTAATACCTAATGATGTAAGCATGAAGAAGTCACAACGGAGCATGTTTCATTGACAAAATGACACACAACTCATTGAACACCAGAGGAGAGAAATTGTAGAGACTGAAGAATAAATTCATTCTATTCAAATTTAAATTTATACTTTTTGCCGTGTCCCCCAGAGTATAAAAGTGCCCCATTGCCAGAGGCAAACTACGTTTTTTGTGTTTTTCTCGCCGTTCACTTGACCGATTTGGTTATAGTTGGTTTCATTTGATAGATTTTAATTAGGGCTATCGAATAAAACCAACTATAACCAAATCGGTCAAGTAAACGGCGAGAAAAACATTAAAAAAAAAGGTTTGCCTCTGGCAATGACAATGGCAACCTCTGGCATTTGTGGTGCTCTGGGGGGACACATTGGAGGGGACACAGGGGACACAGGGGACACACACTGTAATTTAAACACACTGTAATCAAATTTTAGCTAGCAAGATTTAAATTCAAATTATTTGTCAAATGAATGATTGCACTAGCTTGGAATGTTACCCGGCGTCTTACTGTGAAAGGAAACTTTTTGGGTCCAGGGCTCGGCTCCAGGTAATGAAGCTAGGGTCTAGCAATCTAGCGATGTGTGTTTCGCTAGATGTGTTATCTAGACCCGACTAGCGATTTGAATCTACCAACTCGCTATTTGAATCTTTGAATCTTTGAATAGCTATACTTGCAATTTTTCGATGGACCTAGCTTATTTGTCCCCAGCCCCGGGCCCAGGTCCTTTTAACAGCAACACCTAAACTGAAAGTACCCCACTATTATTCGTAGTACTACTGTACACCGTCTCAGGGAGCAATTGCCCTGGGTCTCCGAGTTTTTAGAGTCTTTGCTTTGACTGAGCGTTGTTTGAGCTGTGCACCCCTCAGCTTTCCGACAATTCCCTTGGCTTTAAAGTACCCGGGTACTTAGGAGTGCCATTCTCCTTTACCTTAAAATATTGACACCTTCAAATAATTTTACTGAAATCGGTGCTTCGTTCTTCAGATGCTCTGGTTTCTTGATTACGAATTCCGAAAAATAAGCTCACCCAATACTTTTCCAGGTAAACGCCTCAATCTCAATTCTCTTCGAAGACTTAACTTCGGGAACAATTGCTTTCTTGACCTCGTCTGCTGGCATTGTGATCTTTGGCGAGATTTGTCCGCAAAGCATTTGTGTCAAGTAAAGAAGAGCATTCTTACTTGAAAATCAAAAAATTTTCAGAGAAGGCCTTGCTGTGGGCGCTCGCACGCTTTTCTTGACCCGTTTCTTCATGTTCATCACTTTCCCATTAGCCTATCCAATTAGGTACGGTAAAACCAATCCAATATCAAGCCTAAAACAATCTTCAGTAAAATCCTCGACTTTTTACTTGGAGAAGAAGTGGACAAATTCGATCGCTCGAGACTTTTGGAGTTGATGAAAATGAGCAGTGCAGAGTCGAATGTGAGTCACAAAAGAACAAATTACACACTAGAAACGGGCTTTTTATCAATAATTCTTAAATGGGATTTCGGTAGCTTTTTGAAAACACTTTTTATTAGGTTGTTCGGATATAAACGAGCGTTTGCACTGCTTAAATCGTGATGAAGCCATTTCCCGCATCTGATCGCCTTTCCAATGGCGTGGAGATGCTCATCAATGGTAGAATTTGAACCTAGAAACATGAGCATAGGTTGTAGAAGCTCGAAATACACAAGGCCCTTGTTATTCCACCATACTGCGAGCATGACCTTTTTCTCATGAATGTCCGGTTTCACGGTCGCATTCGGCCGTTCTCCTGGTCCTAGCCATTGCCGTTTTCGAATAGTATTATCGAAATAGATCCACTTCTCATCTCCAGTAACGAGAGAATCAAAAAAGTCATGATCTTTAGCGTGGCGGATGAGAATTCCGGCAATAGCGACCGGTGAAGCCTTGTTTGCACTGCTTAAATCGTGATGAAGTCATTTCCCGCATCTGATCGCCTTTCCAATGGCGTGGAGATGCTCATTAACGGTAGAATTTGAACATAGAAACTGTTGAGGCAGTTCACACGTCGTTTGACATGGATCCGATTCGATTGCAGCCCTCAAAATATCGTTGTCTACCGCTTGAGGTAGACAACGATATTCTTGACGAGACGATATTCTTGACGCGAGTGTTCATCATCCTCGAGACTTTCATCACCGTTCCGAAAGCGTTGGAACCAGGCTCGGCATCGGCTTTCGAACAATACATCATTCCCAAATGCTTTGACCAAATCTCGATGGGATTCCGCTACTGTTTTGTAGTGGAATCCCAGTTTGAAGTCGTAAAGTAGGCGAACGCAAACTTTATATATTTGAAGTTTGAAGTAAAGCAAGAAAAAAGACCTTAAAAATAAGAAATTATTCGTTTAAAAAGATTCCAAATATACACTAATCGAATTCCAAACAAGATAACGTACTTTTAAATACAGTAAGACATTTTTTATAAGCTTCCCTCACAACAATAAGTTTAGTAACGCTTGTTTATATCCGAACAACCTAATAGAAATGAAAGGATCACAAATAATGAAAGAAATGAAAGAATTTTCATGAATTTACTCCTTTTAAACTCCAGGAACTTTCGGCTGACCTAAAAATCGTTGTCGGTGCGATGGAGTTATCAAATAAGAAAGTGAAAGAGGTGATGACAAAAATCGAAGACACATTCATGCTATCAAGCGAAACAATTCTCAACTCAATCACAATAACGGAAATTGCTGAAAAGGGATATACACGGATCCCGATCTACGAGGGAACTGATAAGAATAAGGTAGAGTTAAGCGCTGTTTGATAACTTGTTTGATAACTTGTTTGATAAGGTGCTGCATATAACAGTTTACTAGGGGAAGGCACGGATTTTCCGTGAGTTTTCGTTTCCGAACCACCTTACTAGAATGATCATTTACTAAATCGAGTATGAAGATTCGAAATTTGAAATCAAAATTTGCCAAATAACCTTGCAAGCGCGTAAAAATACGTAAGTAACGCAAAAGTATTACATTTAAAAAGTATTACATAACGGGACAAAATCCACGACCGGGGGCTGGAGCGAACCCCGGTCTTACTATCGAGAGGCCACTCCAATATCCATTAGGCCACCGGCACCTTTTCTATTGTTTGAAAAGCGTCCTTTAAAGCTTATCTTCAATTTCAATTCAATTTTGAATTTGAATTTGAATTGAAATTTCAAAGATAAGCTTTGAAACGCGCTTTTCAATCACTGGGCTGTGGCACCGGTGGCCTAATGGATAGTGGCGCGGCTTCTCGTTAGTAGGATCGGGGTTCGGTCCCCATCTGGTCCTTTGGTTTTTTTTTCTTTAAATATACGCGTATCTTTGCTGTATATTTACTTTTCTTTCTTACGCGTTAAATGTTTGCGTTACTTACGTATTTTTACTTGTTTGCAAGCTTGTTTGGCAGATTTCGTTTTCAGGTTATGAACCTCTACAGGGTGCGTCATAATTATTGCAACAAGAGTTCAAAGACCGTTTTCCAAACAGCTTTCTTATTTTTTTTGCCCCCTTTTTTGTTGTTTTGCGTTCTATCTTCTTTATTCTAGCCTAATTGCATCCCGCTCACACGAAGAAGACGGTTCAGGACTGGTGTGTGGCCAACTTTCCCTCAGTGATCACCAAGGATGAATGGCCTCCAAACTCACCGGATCTCAATGTGATGGACTTTTCCATTTGGGCAATCTTAGAGGCTAATGTCTGCTCTTGAAGTCTGCTGTTTGACCTGGAAGAAGTCTTTGACCAAAGGATGGAAGGCGACTCCTCAAGATGACATTCGGGTCGCAGTGGAGGCATATCCGAACCGATTAAGGGCTGTTATCAAGGCAAAAGCCGGTCATATCGAATGATCCCTTGTTTCCTTATTTGTTACTGTTAAATAAAGCTATTTCTGTTTAAAAATCTTCTTCCAGTGAAACTTCTTGGTGTGCAATGCCTTGAGTATCTTGTTGCAATAATTATGACGCACCCTGTATACCCCTGTTAGTAAGATGTATGTGGTCCGGAAAAGAAAGCTCACGGGAATTTCGTGCCTTTACCTAGTTAGAATTGAAAATCATTTTCCAGATAATCTCTTTATTGTACGTGAAAGACCTGGCGCTGGTGAACAAGAATGCGAATATCAGTGTGGCTACGATCGGGAATCGGTCGAGAGTGAGAATTGTCGGTGAAAATACGCCACTCACACAAATGTTGACCGAATTTAAGCGGGTAATCGATTTTAGAGACTACAGTGTCCGTTCAAAGCTCCAGTTTTTTCATTCGATTCATTCAAAACGTGCCCTTTCTACAGTCATCAAGGGAAAGTCGTCATATAAACTAGGCATGGGAAAATTCCAACTCGAGCCTAGCTCCACCATCGTTTTCTCAGCCGCTTCCTGGCCGATTGCTCTGAAATTTTTTCTAGAGATAGAAATCAAGATTTTCAGCTTTTAGACAAGATTTCAGAGCAATAGGCTCAGAAACGGCCGAGAAAACGAAGGTGGAATTGGGTTCGGATTGGAATTTTCCCATGTCTAATTTAGTTAGGGTATACTGTAGAAAGATAGACTTTAAAATAACAAACTGAACGTATATATGTAGTGAAATGTTTGTGCCACTTAAATTTTAAAAATTCAATCATTAACATCAACAAATTTTAGGGCGACTACCATTTGGCTATTGTGAAACGGGGAGAACTCGACGAAGAGAGTGTTGAGAATGGTTTACCAATTGTTTCCTTTGATAAGGTAATGAAAAATAAACACTTATATAGAAAACCTTGAGCTTTCAGACATTCAGAAGCTTTATTTTCATGATTTCAGGAAGAAACCGTGAACCTCGTCGAATCGGTCGACAAGAAAATGGAGGTGATTGGAGTGATCACGTTGGAGGATATTCTTGAGGAGATTCTACAGGTAAATACAAATAAAAACAATGTAGTGATTGGAAATTCTTGAAAGGGAAACTAAGAATTAAAAATGAAATAATAAAAATCAAAAATTTAGGCCGAGATCAATGATGAGAGCGACGCGGTCACCGATAACGTGCAACGACACAGACGACGCTCAAAGGTCTGAAGCTCAAGCTAAAAAAGCGTTATGATACAATGAATATCAAGAATAGCTATGCTTTAGATTGCTTTAGATATTTGATTGATTTGTAATCTGTGATGTTTTAGGTGAGTCGTGAATACCACAGCCTCTTGGGGAAAGAGAAGCAATCCGAGCCACTCTCCATACATACAAAGGTGGGTTTTTGTTGGTAAACCTACAAGTAGAAGTACCAAATGAAGATAAGGTAGTTAAAAATTGGTTTAAGCCAGACCAGGACCAGGCCAAGCCAAGTCCTTTGCTGGTTTTACTGAAATTTTGATCTACATAGTGCCTGGGTCCACCAGAAGCCATGTTGGCCTGGCAGGATGGCCCACAATTTTAGCCGTACAGAGGGCCATAGCCAAAATGAGTCAATCGCGATCTGGAGGTAAATCTTAAGTAGTCTCCTGAATGGTGCCCATCACCGATTCAACCTTTTTATATGGCTTCCAAAGTTGAGGCCGGTTCGCTTGACCGCTACATTTGGGTTTTTGGGCGTCCTTTAAAATCTCGTTGAGATTCGATTTCTTATGTTAATGAACGAAATTTTACATGCTCTACGCAGCTTAAGTGCAAAAATTCTTGAGAGATGTCACCAAAATTCACTTAATATGGTCTATTCACTTAAACAAATTTATGGAGCATTCAGAAAAGCCACTAAAGAAACAGGAAAATCCAATTTTTTCAGTTTCTATCGCTTTTAAATTTCATGTAAATATGATTAATTGAAAATCAGTAGGATCTTCTGAGTTTTTATCAAAAGGATGAAACTTTCAAAAACCGATAAATGAGTAACGTGGCCGAGCCACACTCGGCTCTCAACTTTGGAAAGCCATATAAAAAAGTTGAAAGTTTGAATCGATTAGATAATGGGCACCATTCCAGAAGATCTACTTAAGATTTACGTCCAGAAAAATCAGAACGATTGGCTCAATTTTGGTCAACCTAGGCCCTCTGAAGTGTGTATAATTGTGTGGCCACCCTGTAAAAGACACCCCACCAAAAAGACCCAAATTTCTAAGCCAAAACCCAACGTTTTAGGCTAAATTCAATGATGAGATTCCATGCCAAGGCCAATTGAAATCGAAAAAGCTATTTGCTTTGCCTTGGCTTGGCTTGGCTTGGCTTGGCTTGGCTTGGCCTGGCTTGACTTGGCTTGGCCTGGCTTGGCTTTTGTTTAAACCCAGATTAGGGTCCAATATTTCTAGATTCAAGCAGCCGCTTGTTTAAAAAGTTTCGAATTCTTCGTTTTAGATAGTTCTCTGCAAATATCTCCGAGATCACCATCCGATTTTCTCAAGTGAATGTCTCGAGCAAAGAGCTTTGGAGATGATGATTGAAAAGAATGTGAGAAAGGTGAGTTCAATCTCAGCTTCGAAAAAAGGCAATACTTTGTTTCTTCTAAAAGCAAAGATTTTCGGTTTTTCTGCACAGTGACTCGCCGCCAGTTCGTCTTTTTGAAGCCGGTGTCATCAGCAAGAGAGTGATCATCATCATTGAGGGAAATGCGCAAGTTCTTTTTCCAAAGGTAGAAAAGTTTTTATATATTGACACTCATTGAAACGTTTGAGCAGTAAGTACAGTAAGTACAGTAAGTACAGTTAAATACAGTAAGTACAGTTAAGTACAGTTACGTACAGTAAGTACAGTAAGTACAGTTAAGTACAGTAAGTACAGTTAAGTAAGTACAATACGTTAATTTAGAACAACATGACTCTCACAGCTGATGCGTGGATTTCCCTTGGTGACATCATTTTCCACAAACTTGAGCAAGCGATTCTGCAAGGGGGAAATGGTTTGTGAGGAAAAAAACTTGATAAAAATGAAAACACATCCTTTCTGGTGCACCAGAAAAGATCAGTTTACATTTTTGGTCAAAAAATACACCCCAAAAAAGCTCTAGCTGTTATTTATTGGAAAGTTATTTTCAGAAACGAATACATCCATTCATTTTGTGCCCGACTTTACGGTCACTGTCGAGAAATATTGTAAATTCGTTCAACTGCCGATCACCTCACTTTATCATGCTTTGAAAGTATCAAGGATGCTCAGAGCTATCAAGTAATAAGAGTTTAATCGATTAAACAATAACTTCATCGGCTTGATTTGTCCTGTGTCAAAAATTACCTCCAAATGATAATCAAATCAAATCAACTCAAATCTTTCAATTTCCTTCAGACCAAAACTACATAAATTGAATAGAAACAGAAAGAATCTTATAGAATTTTCGATAGTTGACATAGTTTAGAAAAGACTGATGTTTAGAGGAACAAACTATTGTTCAGACCGTCCTCAAGCTTGCTTCGAATCAAATTTTCTCCACTTTACCTCTTTTCAAAATTTCTTTTCTACAATTGCATCCAATTTTTGTAAATCCCCTTCAGTTATCATCTCTCTATCAACTCTTAGATCAAATTTCAGATCAAGCAGCTCAACAGCCGCCTCCTCTCGTTCCCCATCGATCTCCGAATTCTCGAAAAGCTCGCGGGTAGTCAGATTTAAAGATGAGGTACTCTTCCAAAGGCAGTTTTTTTCAGATCAGGCTGGAGCTGCAAGCCTGGTTCAAAAACCTAAGTTAGACCTGGCTTCTATCCCGGCGCTGGTCTGGCTTGACCTTACAATCCCTGGCTGGGACAACCCTACACCTTACTAGGGGAAAGGCAAGCACTTTCTGCACTTCGAACCAAGTCCATCTTATAGAATCGGTCACGCTGAGTTCGAATCTGCTTTTAGTTTTTGCCCTCGAGGCCTATAACGCAAGGTATCTGTCTTGCAAGTTTCGTGTGCATTTTTGATCTCTATTTGAGGCCTTCGACATCCGACAAAATACTATCGTAAATAAAATACGATAATGCAAAAACATCCGACAAAATCAAAATACGAAATATGACAAAAATCGACAAAATACTTTACTAGTACCAATTGCCAAAAACCAAAAAAGTTTTTGACTGGGATTGAACCCTGGCCAGGTCCAGGCCGCCGCTCTACCATTAAGCCATGTTTACAACCAGTCTATCCCTCAAACTGTGCCTCAAATAGAGATCAAAAATGCACATGAAACTTGCAAGACAGATACCTTGCGTTAGAGGCCTCGAGGGCAAAAACTAAAAGCATATTCGAACCCAGCGTGGTCGATTCTATAAGATGGGCTTGATCTCGCCTTTCCCTGGTTAGAGTTACTTTCAAAAAAGTTTAAAAACACTAGTGAAGCACTTCGTCTACGTAGTACACATTTTCAATTGCAGCCTCTCGTCGACGATTCAACGAGAAGTCGACAAGGCTCAGAAATTGGCGGATCCGAGAATGGAGATCTCAAAGTGTCACTCAAAAATCGACTCCGATCGTTGAGCAATCCGAATACGCAGAAAATTTCGTTACCATAAAGGAAAACGTTTAGAATTTCGCTATAAATTGCTATAAATTGCTATAAATTGTGCTATGAAGATGCTTTTTCATGTCAAACTACAAATTGTGACTCAACTCTTTTTCTTTGATTATTGACAAAATGACGTGTCAGTTTAGTCTCTGAAAAAAAGCAAAACTCTTCGTTTTTCGAAAAATTTCTCCACGCTTTTTCTAAGTAAACATTTCTCAAGAAAAATTCGAGAAATTCTTGAATTTTATTGTTGAAATCAAGATAGGCGTTTGCATCTCAGCGGCGTAGCGAAATCGTCCGGCCCTTGTCAGATCGAGTGCGTTTACTGCGCGAACTCCTTGTATATCGGTCAATTCCTTGTTGTTTTAGGCTTTATTTTCAAAACCATTATTCTATACTTCAGAAAAATACGATCAGTGGTGTACTTTGGTGGAAACGAATCCTTCTTGGCACACTGCTCTCATTATTGAGAAGATTGAGTGCACCAGAAAGAGTACGTTCACAATTTTGGGGTTAAAGTACACAGGATAAGTCTAGTACTCAGCGGGCAGTGGAGCTCGCGTAGTAAACGCACTCGATCTGACGATTTCGCTACGCCGCTTAGATGCAAACGCCTATCGAGCATGGGGAACACGATGCTCTATTTATTTTTACCCATTCTCAACGGTATACAAGAAAAACGCTTGTAAAATTTGTAAAAAGAAAAGCGCTTACAAAAAGTCGCAAAAACAATAATAAAATGAACAATTGAATAGAGGATCGTGTTCCCCATGCTCGAGAGGCGTTTGCATTTCAGCGGTGTAGCGAAATCGTCGGATCAGTTCGTCCGGACCAGTTCGTCCGGCCAGTTCGTCGGGCCAGTTCGTCCGGCCAGTTCGTCGGGCCAGTTCGTCCGGCCAGTTCGTCGGGCCAGTTCGTCCGGCCAGTTCGTCCGGCCAGTTCGTCCGGCCAGTTCGTCCGGCCAGTTCGTCCGGCCAGTTCGTCCGGCCAGTTCGTCCGGCCAGTTCGTCCGGCCAGTTCGTCCGGCCAGTTCGTCCGGCCAGTTCGTCCGGCCAGTTCGTCCGGCCAGTTCGTCCGGCCAGTTCGTCCGGCCAGTTCGTCCGGCCAGTTCGTCCGGCCAGTTCGTCCGGCCAAGTTCGTCCGGCCAGTTCGTCCGGCCAGTTCGTCCGGCCAGTTCGTCCGGCCAGTTCGTCCGGCCAGTTCGTCCGGCCAGTTCGTCCGGCCAGTTCGTCCGGCCAGTTCGTCCGGCCAGTTCGTCCGGCCAGTTCGTCCGGCCAGTTCGTCCGGCCAGTTCGTCCGGCCAGTTCGTCCGGCCAGTTCGTCCGGCCAGTTCGTCCGGCCAGTTCGTCCGGCCAGTTCGTCCGGCCAGTTCGTCCGGCCAGTTCGTCCGGCCAGTTCGTCCGGCCAGTTCGTCCGGCCAGTTCGTCCGGCCAGTTCGTCCGGCCAGTTCGTCCGGCCAGTTCGTCCGGCCAGTTCGTCCGGCCAGTTCGTCCGGCCAGTTCGTCCGGCCAGTTCGTCCGGCCAGTTCGTCCGGCCAGTTCGTCCGGCCAGTTCGTCCGGCCAGTTCGTCCGGCCAGTTCGTCCGGCCAGTTCGTCCGGCCAGTTCGTCCGGCCAGTTCGTCCGGCCAGTTCGTCCGGCCAGTTCGTCCGGCCAGTTCGTCCGGCCAGTTCGTCCGGCCAGTTCGTCCGGCCAGTTCGTCCGGCCAGTTCGTCCGGCCAGTTCGTCCGGCCAGTTCGTCCGGCCAGTTCGTCCGGCCAGTTCGTCCGGCCAGTTCGTCCGGCCAGTTCGTCCGGCCAGTTCGTCCGGCCAGTTCGTCCGGCCAGTTCGTCCGGCCAGTTCGTCCGGCCAGTTCGTCCGGCCAGTTCGTCCGGCCAGTTCGTCCGGCCAGTTCGTCCGGCCAGTTCGTCCGGCCAGTTCGTCCGGCCAGTTCGTCCGGCCAGTTCGTCCGGCCAGTTCGTCCGGCCAGTTCGTCCGGCCAGTTCGTCCGGCCAGTTCAGACCATTCCCTTGTGAGAATCTGAGAGTGAACGCAAAGTTTTAGTCTCTTTTTTTACTATAAGATCCAGAAATACCTTTAGTTGAATACCTTTAGCTCTTTTGCAAATAAAATGGCAAAGAATAGCCAGAATATTAAAGAATATTGAGCAAAGAATATTAAGGGCTGACTCATTAATTCTAAAAGAGCCATTAAACATTTTTTCCTGAGGTTCGATTGCATTAAAATTCCCTCAACTAAAGAATTGAGTGCTCTAGAATGGGTGTGCTTGCACTTTCTGAGCGCAAAGTACACATGTCATCAATTTATTAGCTATTTATTCCCCCCAGACACCAATCATTTCAAAGTGCATCCCCTTTCCGTCGACTCCTATCAATCTTTTCCATTCACTCTTTTCCCCATTTACTTTCTCTCATTTCCTTTCTTTTTTTGTGTGTGAGAGAACGCGTGATTTCCCCCTCGCAAACCAAAGTTTTCTCTCAAAAAAAAAAAAACTCTTTCACACACGTTTTGAACAAATAAATAGTATGATCGACTTGCCAAAATGAATGTTAAATGTTTAGAAGTTGTTTTGAGAGATCTCTAAATGTTTTAAAGATCTCTAAATGTTTTAAAGATCTCTAAATGTTTTTTAAACATTTTGCTTTGTCTCTTTCATAAAGAAAACGCTAAAATTCTTGATAATTTTTGCTTGCTTTTGCTTTAACTTAATGAAACTTGATGAAAATTTGATTTTGAAGTTTATTTTCGCATCTAAAATTATTTTTTAGCTCTTTGCATTTGCATTGCTTGCTCTTTCCATTTGCTCTTTTGCATTCAACAAAAGCCAAGACAATGATAAAGTTCTCGTTTTTGGATTTTTGCCAAATTTTTGTGAAATTTTTCTTTTCAAGCTTGTAACCAACTCTTTCATCTTTTGAAAATCAAAAATTTACCTTTGTCTGGCTGTCCTGGCTGTTCTGGCTTGTTGCTAATTGTTGTAACATTGCAGATATAAAGTTCGTATTAGAGTTAAAGTTGTTGTCGTACTATCGTAATGTTATCCAACCCTGCATCTCAATCCAATCCAACCCTGAATCTCAAGGTTCAAGAAGAAACTTTTACATGTAAAACATCTCAGAAGGCAAAATATCTCATATTAGGGTGGTGCAAAAGAAACTTTGGAAGATTACGAGCACGGTTCGAGGCCAGAAGTCATGAACGAAGTCAAGCTGAGGGACGTTATTCAGGCCGATCATTAGATCCATAGATCCATAGATCCATAGATCCATTGATCCATAGATCCATAGAATTCCATAGATCTAAAGCTCTCATTGACTTTCCCTGCCGATCCATGCCGATCTGCTCGAGATCTTGCAAAAATATTCCATTGTGATCATGTCACCGTCGAACGCCATCTTTTTTTTTTAATTTACCGTCAATTTCTTTTGCACCACCCTAATAGTTAGTATCCCCTTTTTACCAATTTTTAAATCGTCCACTTTTGAAACAAAATCAACCCTTGACCTCTCAAATCCTTCCCCTTCAATTCCCTCTCTTTTCCTGCCAATCAGGCTTTGCGCTGGGGAATTTCAGGGAAATTTTCCGATAACGGTCCACTGGACAGATCTTTCCAGTGTTTCAAAAAGAATTTTTCCTTAGACTTTTAATTATTTTTACATTTGGTTTTTGAACTTATGGTTGCTTTTAATGGAATCTTCATTAAATTTGGTTATAGAAAAGGAGAATTTGTTTTGTAGACTCACCGATAAGAACATAGAGAAAATTTGAGTCAAAGTTGACCTTTCAAATAGGAGTCTCGCAGTTTGGGGACCCTTCCAAATTCTGTGGCGAGCCTCGGAGTTTGGGAACTCTTCTTTTTTACTCCAAATCTCGACTCCCAGTAATCAGATCGACTTGGGGTTGGTTTTAAAATAATCTTCATGAAATTTGGTTATAAAAAAGTACAATTTGTTTTGTATACTCAGGTATAAGAACATCGTGAAAAACGGTATCAAAGTTGACCTACTTACCTACAGAAGCCGATCAACTTTGATACCGTTTTTCTCTATGTTCTTACAGGTGAGTGTACAAAACAAACTGCACTTTTCTTAAGCCAAATTTGATGAGGATTCTTTTAAAATGAATCGTAAGTCGATCCGATACGCAAAAAACTTCGCAAAAAGTTGAACTAAGTATTAATTTGATGAATATGTCCAGAATTGTCAAAATATCTTTTTCAATCTCGAATTTTTCTCGATAAAACACGATTTTGTTTGTGTTTTTGTGTGTAAAACTAGATCGAGAAGGGAAAAAATGAGAGAAAACATCGGGGATCGATTGAAAATACGCACGTTTTTGTGGGTGATCTGTAGAAAAAGTGATCAAGAGAAAGTAGCTTCTAAATGTGAACCAAAGAACTTAAACCTAAATGTAAACTTAGGAAAGTAGAATTTAGATGTAAATGTGACTATAATGAAAGCAATGCTTTTTCCTTTCTCGTAATCACTTTTAAACTGCATCTTTCAAACTTTGAACTCAATGAAAAATGAAATGAAAAGAGGAATAGAGATAAATTTGAGTTGAAACTCCATTTTTCTGAATTGAAACCCCAATCCACTTGCGAAACTTCAACATCCAAAGGATTTAAGGATTTAAGGATTTTGTCAATCCATGAATGTGTTGTAATAACTTTAGAATTACTGTAGAAGAAGAACTACTGTAGAAGAAGAACTACTGTACAATAAGAACTACTGTACAATAAGAACTACTGTACAACAAGAACTACTTTGGAAATAGTTCTTGTTGTACAGTAGTTCTCAAGTTAAGAACAGTTGTTGCACAGTTTTAAAGGCACAGTTTCATTTTGGCATTGAGATAGTAACGAAAAGGATGAATCAGCTATTCCACTGTGCTAATTTGAATTAACTTTTGTTAAAAATCGAGCTGTTTAGAGCTTGAGATGTTAGAGATAATTCTCTAACATCTCTGAGCTCAAAATCTCTGTACACACATTTTCTAGAACACTCAATTTTCAATTTTCTTGTGAAACCAAATTGAGTGCTGGTGTGTTTAGAGAGATTTTGAGCACAAAATAAGCTTTACTAAGAAAGTTTACGTTTAGTTTACTGGCTAGTTTGCGTTTACGTTTACTGGCTAGTTTACGAAGCAGAGAAATGAATTTTCAACATTTTATGAGCCAAGTTTGGCCCGACCCAACTCACACGTGTTTGGTGTGGTTTTCAAAGCAAGATAACTGAAAAGAGGGGAAAGAGAGAGAGAGAGAAAGAAAGCGACAATCTCGAAAAGATAAGGCTCAGGAATGGATTGATGAATGAAGGGGAAAAAAGAAGTTAAAGAGGGAAATATGGTGTGACTCTCCATCTCCTTTTGTCTCTTTTTGTGTCTATCTCCCGTCCTGTACCCGGCAATCGGGGCAAATCTGTCAACGACACTTTGTAGTCTTCCATTGCCCTTTTGCTTCTTTGTCCCTTTACCCAGTGTATGTTCTATGACTTTAATACATATTCCTATGCTCGATGAACTCCATTATCTGGTTATCTAGTTTAAAAATATCTAGCTTTGCCTTGCTTGCCTTTGACTGCTTTGACTGCCTTGCCTTGACTTGCCTAAATTCTAAAATAAACCTAAGCTACCGTACTCGAGTGTCTCTCTTTCTCCCTATAAATGGGACTTCCTATAAAAGGAAGTCCCATCCCTTTAAAATTAATTCAGAATTCTTTTAAACTGGGCAACGATTCTTTTAAAGAATCGTTGCCCAGTCCGGCGCTTTGCCGTTTCTTTTGCGCGTGTATATTCCCCTTTCTCGATCTCGTTATAAAATTCTGTTTGTTTTTTTAAAACCGCATCCTTCTCTTATTGTTTTCACCCCTTCTTCCCTGTCTCTTTTAAAAATTGTTAGAGTTTCTGTACTTTTTTTTCTGTAGTTTTAGAGTTTCTGTACTTTTCTCGGTTCTTTCCACTTTGTTGATCCTCGAACCGATGTCTTTCGCATCACTAATAAAGTTATTAAAACAAAACAAAATACCTTTTTCTATAAACGTCAGTCGATCCAATCCAGCCACAAATCTTCTTGTTATTCCTTTGGCAAATCATTTAAAATTAGTGCAACACTATTTATGACAAGTGATTGAGAAGAGGGTCCGCTCAGGGGCGCTTTGGTCGGTCACAGTTACAGTTATTTCCATGAAAGGAAATAACTGTAACTGTGCCCTGTAACTGTGCCCTGTAACTGTGCCCTGTAACTGTGCCCTGTAACTGTGCCCTGTAACTGTGCCCTGTAACTGTGCCCTGTAACTGTGCCCTGTAACTGTGCCCTGTAACTGTGCCCTGTAACTGTGCCCTGTAACTGTGCGACCAAAGCAGTTTGGGCAAGATTTTGAATTTGGATTTGGAATTTGGATGTTGGGATTTGGAATATGGATGTTTTAAACCGTAATACGTTACGATCTTGTTTCTAAGCTGTTTCTGTAAGTTCTAAGAGTTGAAAGAAGCAGCTCGATCAAATCCTCTGGCGCTACTGTTTTTTTTTTTACACAAATCCGCTTCGTTCTCAACACGGAATCAAATTTACCTTTTCTCTAAAAACGTCAGTCAAGCCAAAAATATTTGCAAAAAACGCGTGATTTCATAGTTTTTTTTCGTAGTAGATACCTCATCAGTGAACTCCAAGAAGAAAGCTTCACGTTGTCTCGTCGAGTCTCATCGAGTCTCGTCGAGTGATGCATTTCAATGTGCTCATAAGTTCCACCGGACATTTCAATGAAATCAATGAAATCTCTCGCCACATACTCTCTCGCTTATAATAAGTAGGATCTGTTCATAAACGAACCACATTTGTGCAAAAAGAGCAGAGTTTAGCCGAGCTGATCTTTCAATTTCAACTTCTAAAACTTCTACAACTGACAGAAACGGCTTAGGACTAAAATTTTTGAATTTGAGCTAATAAAAGTTTATAGTTAACGGGGGTGGGACAAATGCGACCTTTTTTTTGCTGGAAAAGGCCTTAGCAAAGGCCGTAGAGCTTCGAAAATATTTCCATATAAGGGAATCGTATGCGTAGATTCCGAATTTCGACAAATCAGACCTCGCTGACAAGTCAAATTTGGGCTAAAAGGCAAAAACTACGCAACTTAACGCTTTTCCGCAGTTTTTGCCTTTTAGCCCAAATTTGACGTGTCAGCGAGGTGTGATTTGTCGAAATTCGGAATCTACGCATACGATTCCTTTCTATGAAAACATTTTTGAAGTTCTACGACCTATCCTAAGGCCTTTTCCAGCAAAAAAAGGTGCGCAAATGTCCAGGTGCGCAAAAAAAAGGTCGCATTTGTCCCACCCCCTAGTTAACGCTTTTTAAAAGTCTTTTTATTTAGTCTATGTAAAGATCGAGTAAAAAAAAGGTTTATCCGGGTTATTTCTAGTCACTTTGTAGCTTATCGACCATAGGATGCGTTTAAAACAACTTTCAACGCACTTTTTTTGGCTTTTATGGCCTAGAGTGGCCTGGTTTTCGTCTGGTCATCCCTTTCGGGTTTTTGGAATTGCCCTGATTAGAGAGGATACTTGCCAAAGGGCACAAACCTTTACACTTTCTCCTTAAAATGTAAGAAATCCCTTTTAAAACACTGAGTAATCACATTTAATCACATTTAATTTCATTCTTTTCTTACTTTTTTTCTCTCCCATTTTTGATCCCCCCTATGCTTGTTCGTTGAGCTTTGACAAATGCCCACAGACCACCTTTTTTTGAAGAGATTTTTTTCTGAAACGTCACATGGATCAGGAACTCTGAGAGAAATTGTTTTCGATAAACTTTCCTTTAGTTTTTCTAAAGTTTTGCCTTTAGACATTTTGCTAATTTTGTTTCATGAATTTGATTCTTTTATTTGATTCTTTTATTCTATTCTTTTATTCTATTCTTTATTGTTTAAAGCATTGTTTTGTACAAAGAAAACCTTTTCCTTTTGTACATACCGTAAATACTGTAATAGTACCCCACGCCCATAATGACGGTGCGGAGTGTTGCGTAGCTCTAGCTTTGAACGAGTTTTTCTCGACACTGGTTTATGCTACAATGCGCGCTTAGGCATCAAAAGAAAGCCCTGAATTTCAGCTATTTTTTGATACCAAAGACGCATTTTTTTGAAAGTACGGGCGCTTTGAAAAAGCTTTGCAAATGAAATACTAAAAAACTTTTGCGACTACGCGACTGTACGAGGGTGGTGGGGTACTATTACAGTATTTACGGTAGGTACTTTTAACTAGAAAAAGGAACTTCTAACTTCTAACTAAAGACTACAATTGTTAGCAAACTCTTTAGTTTTCTTTTTCTAGTTAAACTTTAGTTAAACTTTCGTGGTGGGGTACTATTACAGGTATTTACGATAGATTAAAAGGTTCTTTTAGGTTAAAAACCGAAAATGGTAGTCGATCGAATATGGAATGCTTATCTCAATTCGGATTCGATCGTTCCGCGAGAGCAAATGAAGCGACTGGGTGAGCACAAATATTCGGCTGTGGACACGTCGTGGTTGGATGAATTGTGCATGAAAAAGTGAGTGTTTTGATGTTAATAGAGTGTTTTAATAGAGAGAATTTTGCGAGATTCTTTTTCTTTCTAATACTCACTATCAGTTTTATAATAAAACAGCCGAAAAACCTTTGAATTTGCTGACGCTGACGCTCCACTTTGTCGCCGTGGCGCAGTCGGGAGTGCGCTTGTTTCGCTTAGTTCGAAGTCGGACGTAATATATATAAAAGAGCAGTGCCTGTCTGTTTGTACAGGCATTTTCTCGACCGTGTTTTGAACAATAAAGCTACGGCCCATACGGCCCGGCTTCGACCGCCCACAGTGTCACTCAATTTTCACTTTTCTAATTTTTTATTTTAAATGGCACAACTACAATATATTCTACGGCTTTCTAAAGAAGTTTTAGCTTTATTGCCCAAAATACGGTCGAGAAAATGCCTGTACAAACAGACAGACACCGCTTTTTTATATATATTACGTCCGAATCCGAACTAATTGCATAAAATCGCGCAGAATTAATATTTTCTTACAAATTTGGTACCATTCGATGCAGAACTAAATTCCCTATAAGTTAAACTATAAAACATAGCTTTTTGTTCAGCATAACTTTTTTATTAGACAAAAAAACGACATTTTTCGACGCTTTTCTAAGCTATTTTTAGTGGCTCAAATACGAACCAAAAATAATGTATGATAGCTTATAGAACTTATAAAAACTTATAGAACTTATAGAAGCTTATAGGAGCCTGTAGAACATGCAGAACAAGGCATGTAGATTCTTAAAGAGAAGCTACAAAAGCTAATTTGGTAAAAAAATATGAAATTAGTTTGGATTCGGAATGCGAATTGATTTCGTATTTTTTACCAAATTAACTTTACTTATTAACTTCACTTTAAGAATCTATAAGTCTTTCTCTACAAAATGACACCAAAATCATCAAAATCGGTCCACTAGTTTTGAAGATGCAGGCACCCAAAGTGGCGCAATTTTCGGATTCGTTTTTGGATAGTTGGGATTCGGATTTTAACATTTATAGTAGATTACAATTTAAAGTAACGAGTTATATTTCAAGGCATGTATGGGCATGGGTATGGGCTAGGTAGGCATGGGTTTTTTTTGAACCCAACAGTTTTTCTTAGCGGTCAAAACCTGTATCAGAGTCAGAATTGGAGGCAGAGCCTGACTTCTTTTTTGAGCCACTTTTGAGCACGAAGAATGCTTAAAAAGATGTAACGATATGAAGAAACTATAAAGTAAAGCAAATTCTCTGAAAATCCCCATCCCAATTCAGATTCTGGGACAAATGCGTGACGTTCTGTCCGATGTGGGTGGCTCCAAATCTGATCACCCTCGTCGGATTGATCATCAACTTGTGCACAGTGTTGATATTATCCGCTTATTGCTATACAGCGAGTGAATCGGTAAGGAAAGGCTCCATCGCTCTAAAATGAACTTGATCACCTTTTTCAGGCTCCATCGTGGGTCTACTTTCAAGCGGCTCTTGGGCTGTTTTTGTATCAGGTATTGTACCTTTAAGATTTACAGTCGAGAAGCACGATGGAAAGATTTTTATAAGCTTTTCAAGTTTAGGAAAAGTTTAGACTCTTGACGCGATCGATGGAAAACAGGCACGACGGACGGGTAGCTCGTCGCCTCTTGGAGAGCTCTTCGATCACGGGTGTGATTCAGTGTCTCAGGGTTGGTTCAGGAGATTTATCGGTTCTTTAATAAGCAAGATTTAATAAGCAAGATGGATGCAAGTTTGTGTATTGCAAGTTTGTGTATCAAAAACACTTGAATAGAGAGGTTTATTGTTGAATTAAAGCTTGGAGATTGTCTAGAGCTTGTAGAAACAAACACAGCTCACATTCACAACAAGCTTTCGGCTAACGATTATAAATCTAACGGCTAGTTAGCCTCCAAAGCCATAAAAGTCATAAAGCCTCCAAAAATCTAATCTCCATTAGAGTTCTGATTAAAAATCTCATTCTTTCAACACTAGAAACACCTCAAAATTCATTTCCAGTTTTGCCAGCTCAGCTATGGTTTTCTCTAGCACACTTTTGTGATCTAATTATCGTAAAATAGCTTCAGATTCCTAATCCGTTTGATTCATGGCCATGGTCGACTGATTAAGAGCCCTGTATCTTACTAGAACTGTTTTAACTTCCCACCAGTTTTCGAAACCGGACTTGGCTACAAAAGGCCTCTGGTTCAATTCTAAGAAACATACATTTTCTACTTTTTTTCCCAGTGGATCCTAGTGGATCCAGAATCCTAAAAACATTATAAATTTGTTTAGCAAATCTTCCGATGTAAATTTGACTGTGTAATTCCAGTGTTCGTCACGCTAAACGTTTGTTATGCGATGACGCTTGGCGCTGTCCCAAATGGCGTCTTTTTGATCTCGATCATCTCGGTGATCATGTTCTTCGCCGCACATTGGAGCACCTATTGCACTGGGCAATTGAGATTTTCAAAGTGAGTGAAGCGATAAACAATCAAGATCTTAAAACAAAACAATCAAGCTCTTAAAAAAATCATTAGATTTGATGTAACTGAAGCTCAATGGATGGTCATCTCCGTTCTCCTTTTCACCGCGATTTTTGGCGCACCCATGTGGTCAGCCGAAATTGTGAGTCTTCAAAACACATTAAAGTTAGCATAAAATTTTCTCTAACTATCCGAATACTTTTTGCTCAATCAATATGCCGAATCAATATGCTGTAGCACAACATTTGATTGTAATTTCAGATTTTCGGGTTTCAACTCCGTTATATTGTCGTCAGTGTGTCGTTGATCATCTCAATCATTCAAATTGGCGGATATTTAAAGACGATTTTGAGTGGAGGAGTTGGAAAGAATGGAAGCACCGTGGCAGTAAGTGCTCGTGTCCGTTTCCTTCAAAAATTAAGTTCCTATTTGTATTTAATTTACGTTCTCTCCCTAAATTCTTTGTTTTTTGGTTTGGTTTGGAGAGAACTTGAGTTTGTGGCTTCGGCCTAAGCCTAAGCCAGCCTAAGCCTAAGCCAGCCTAAGCCTAAGTCAGCCTAAGCCTAAGTCAGCCTAAACCTAAGCCAGCCTAAGCCTAAGCTTGAGCCTTTTAGTTTGCAGTTTTACCCTCATTCTTTCGGGATTTAATGTTTCCCCTTCACTGTTTTTGTTTTTATAATCGGTAACGTCGCTTTTTTCATTCTTTACTAATAAACCGTAAAATTATAAGTTACTTAATTATAAGTTACTTATAAATTATAAGTTACTTTGTCCGGTTTACTTAAAACTACCCCTAAGGTGCTAAATTCTCTCTAGATAACTGGTCTAACATTATAGGAAGAATTTGCTAATATTTGTGTTGCCACCGACGAAGCGTCAATCCGTTTTGTACTCATTTCACGAGCGTAAACCTTATGCGCAATGTTCTTGTTCTATTGTGAGCGTTTTGGGGAAATTTAACCGTTTATCCGTTTAACCTTTTGCGCTACTCGGTTATTCTGAAACAAAAAAACGTTTCCGATGATAAAGTTAAAGCGGGTCACACCGCGAACTGAGTGCTGTGACTGTATTTGGAGCTGGAGCTGTATTTGGAGCGGTATATTTGGAGCTGTATATTTGGAGCTGTATATTTGGAGCTGTATATTTGGAGCTGTATATTTGGAGCTGGAGCTGTATTTGGAGCTGTATTTGGTAGGGTTGTTTCAAAAGGAATTTAACCGAGCCAAGCTAGAGTTAGGGCTTGTCCCAGATCATGCTCATGGTCTAGCTTTCGATTAAGCTTAGATGACCAACCCTAGTCAGAACCAAAGTCAAGTCTTGATCTAGATTTTGTACCTGATCCTTTTCTACCTGAGCTAATCTTTTACGAGCTTACTGCCAGCTTACGAGCTTACTGCGAGCTTACTGCCGGTTTCGGAGTCAAGTCCTAGCTAGCAGGCTTGGTCAGGTATGGCTACAAGCTCTACAATCCACTTGGAACATCTCTGGCTTTGCAACATCTGGAACATCTCTGGCTTCTAACTCTCATACTTTTTGAATCTTTAATCACCAAAGCTTGAAAATTCAAAGTTCTCAACAAACACTTTTCAGTTCTCAGAATTCTAAGTTCAAAACAGTTTAAAACAGTTCAAAAAAATCATTCTAAGAATAAGAATCATTCATTCTCAATCTTCAATCTCTAACCTCTAAACATTTCAGGGAACCTCCGTTCTTTTCCCCCTTTTCCCACTTCTTATGATCATTTTGCCGTTTGCAATGATTTATGGGTGAGTTTTTCTACAAATTCCCGACAAAATTAGTATTTTCAGTAAATCAAACAGTTCTGTTTACGATGATCACATCACATTGTTCGTCCTTTGTTTTGGAGCAGTCGGTGAGTCGCAAAAGAAAAACGAAAATTGATGTTTTCTTGAAAAAAAACGAAAATTGATGTTTTCTCGAAAAAAACGAGTGTTTATAAGAATTGGAAGCCATCAATTAACGGGGAAATCGCTTCGAAATCGTTTTTGTACTAAAGTTTTCTCACTTTTCAAACCATTGCGTCATTGATGACCGGTTTGTGGTAGTGAACGATGAATTGAATAACTTTTATCAAAAAAAAATCCATACCTATCATATTTTTCTATGCAATTTTGAGAAATCTGAGCTTAAGTGAGTTTCCAAAATGTACATTGTGCTTAAAAAATCTCAAAACGAACCTTTCTGGTGCACTGGGTAATGTGAAACGTGAAAGTTTCGTGTGCCAAAAGTGGAAGTTAGTTAGCACAAAGTACACTTGAAGAAGAAGGAAGGTGTACTTTGTACTGTGCTTAAAAATGTACTGTGCAGAAAGGTGTACTTTGTACTGTACCTACAAATGTACTGTGCAGAAAGGTGTACTTTGTACTGTGCAGAAAGGTGTACTTTGTGCTCAAAAACTCCTAAACACGTACTCTTTCTGGTGCACTCAATTTCTTGCAAAAGCTATTGAATTTCGAGAGGAAAGGCCGGGAAAAAAGGCAGAAAAATGAGAGAAAATGAGAAAGAATGAAATCTAGCATCCTCTTTCCAGGCTCAAAGACGACAAATCGTTTGGTGATCGCTCACATGTCAAAGAGTGAACTTCCGCTATGGGATTGGATCTATTTGGCGCCATTGGCATTGATGTTGAATCAATATTACAATTACCCTTTCAATGAGTACCATTTGTTGATCGGCTGCACGGTGAGTCTGGCAGAAGAATTTTGAAAAAAAAACTACAAAACTAAAGATTTATGTTTCAGTAAAGTAATGAAATCAAAAAAAAAATGTCCAATGTTAATATGGGAAAGTCTTCTACAGTAGGCCTTTAAGCTTACTGTAGAAAGGTGTACTTTGTGTACTGTAGAAAGCTTACTGTAGAAAGATTACTGTAGAAAGTGTGCTAAGCCTAAGCCTAAGCTTTAGTAAGCCTGTATTCAACAGTTAAGACTTTGTATTAGGTTTTCTTCCTAGGGGAACTGTTTCAACAAAGCACCGATTTTCGAAATTGGACCTAGCTACAAAAGACCTAGCTACTGGCCCCGTAGAATTCTAAGAAACACGTATTTTTTATTTTAGATAAAGTTTTAGATAATATAGATAAAGTACAGTACCTTGTCACGCTATGCCAACCACAGTAATCATTTAAGTACTCTTAAACCTATTTTATTCTAGTCTAGACATTTTTCTCATGAGCCCATGAGCCCTGGTCAAAGTTTCGGCAATTTTTGGCAAAGATAGCCTAGAAGAGGGCGCAGGCAGGAAAAGCGGCGGCGGCCTGGAGGATAGTGTGCCAGACTCCGAAACCAGTGGAACGTTTGCTCGCGGGTTCAATCCCCCTTGCCGCCAAATTCTTTCCTTTTTTGAAAAACCTTCCGGCAAACACTTCTTTATCATTATTATTGTGTTTTTAAAGCAATAAAGCTATTTATTAGCTATCTTATAGGTGAGATTTGCCAATTTTTTCACCGATTTGCGAAAAAAGTCAGACTATAATAAGCAATTGAAGTAAAATATTCACGATTTTCAGGTGTACGCCTACATCTCTCTGTTGATATTCTGCACTTACGTGACTCGGCAATTCTGCGAGCATTTGAACATTTGGTGCTTCCAGTTGGGACCGAGAAATGCGAGCAAAAGGCAATGACTAGATGTGGGTTTGGAATTGAGTTAATCGCGATTCTTGGCTATACAATCTCAGAAGTTTGACCCCTCAAGGGAAACATAGATAAAGTACCGTACTTGTCACGCTATGCCAACTACAGTAATCATTTAAGTACTCTTAAACTTATTTTATTCTAATCAAGACATTTTAAAACATAAAAAGTCGACTCAACCGAGTCCAACCGCTCCCAAAACTATAATTCCTTGGTTCACATCTTTTTTCCGACTATTTTCGTCCCCTAATCACTACAAGCATCATTTCCAGGTGCATTCTTGAGTGATTAAATATTTTTTGCCCTTTTCCTTTAAAAATAAAAGAGTATAATGAAAAAATTGACGCGAGACTTGATTTTACTATGAAGTAAAGGTGGAAATGGTGGAAATGATAAAGAATTGGGAAAATGAATACGATTGCTAGACTATATACCGAGTATTCAAAAAAAACAGCTGCTCAATTTATTCAATGAAACTAATACAGTAGGCTTTCGATTTGACAGGTAGAATTTGTAGCAAAAATACCAGTCAAATTTGGGGCGAAATTGATCCCAAAAATTTGGGTATGTTGACAGCAAGAGACGCGAAAAAAGGGCTCAGTCACTGACCGCTCTTTCCGGATTTCAAATTGAAATCCCTTTCCGGATTTCAAAAGGGATGCTTCTATACCAGGGTGATTTGCCAGATAGAGGGCAATTACGCGGGCGCACCAAGAACGCGGTCAGCCATTTACATAGGAATTCTTCTTTGGCTTTGTAGATGGCAGAAAAAGCAGAAATTCAGCCGATAGCCAGCTAGAAGATATTCAGCTAGAAGATGTTCAGCTAAAAGATATCCAGCTAGAAGATATTCAGCTAGAAGATATTCAGCTAGAAGATATTGAGCTAGAAGATATCCAGCTAGAAGATATTCAGCTAGAAGATATTCAGCTAGAAGATATTGAGCTAGAAGATATCCAGCTAGAAGATATTCAGCTAGAAGATATTCAGCTAGAAGATATTCAGCCAGAAGATATTCAGCTAGAAGATATTCAGCTAGAAGATATTCAGCTAGAAGATATTCAGCTAAAGGATATTCAGCTAAAGGATATTCATCTATAACCCGGGGGGTTTTCGGCGTTGGGAAATCGATTGAAGTTACTCATTTTATTGAGTCAACCAATTGGAGTCGGGTTTAAGTCATCGAAAATTTTAGAGTAACTCAATTTTAGAAGAGTTTTTGAATCTCTCAAAATTTAGGTGATCGCCGAAGAGGCCGAACGTGATCCATGCGATCCCGAAGACCCTCTCCTATTGAAAGAAAATTTGAAAATTGAGAAATTAGTAGAGATTGTTTAGAGATCAAAAATCGTACTACATGGTGACCAGAAAGAACCCAATTTGTTGAGATAAGGAACCAATTTTAGAGAGATAAGGAACCAAATTTAAAAAGATAAGGAACCAAATTTTTCTAGACTCATATTTCTGTTATTTGTAGACGAAAACGATTAATTTCTTTTTTAAATCAAAATTCGTATCGTTTTCTGTAAATGTTCAAGATTTCATGAACATAAAATCAATAGAAAGTCTTTTATGAACGCTTAAAAGTGGCTGGTTGAAAAAAAATGAAAAATGACGAGCCGTAACTCAAATTTAGGTGTTTCTTTATCGATGATCTTATAGAAAATAATAAAACTAATGCATTTAATATTTTTTTGAAATGAATCTACTTAAACATAGTAAAAAATTAGCGTTTAAGAATAAGAGGAAACTTTTTTGTGGGGTTTTTTGGGGGTGGGACAAATGCGACCTTTTTTTTTGCTGGAAAACGCCTTAGGAAAGGTCGTAGAGCTTCGAAAATGTTTTCATAGAAGGGAATCGTATGCGTAGATTCCGAATTTCGACAAATCACACCTCGCTGACACGTCAAATTTGGGCTAAAAGGCAAAAGTTGCGTTAAGTTGCGTAGTTTTTGACTTTTAGCCCAAATTTGACGTGTCAGCGAGGTATGATTTGTCGAAATTCTGAATCTACGCATACGATTCCCTTGTATGAAAACATTTTTGAAGCTCTACGACCTTTCCTAAGGCGTTTTCCAGCAAAAAGAAAGGTGCGCAAATGTCCAGGTGCGCAAAAAAAGGTCTCATTTTTTTTAAAAAATCCCAAATTTGATTCGTTATTTTTTGACCAGCTGACTTTGAGCGTTCATAAAAAATTATTTATCAATGCTATGGCCATGAAATCTTGAACATATACAGCAAACGATATGAATTTTTGATTTGAAAAACAAGATTAATCGTTTTCGTCTACAAATAACAGAAATTTGAGCCTAAAGCCTAGGACGGGTTACTTCTGGTCACCCTGGAAATGTACTAGCATTTTCTAAGGTATCCCGTAGTCGTTGTCGTTCTCCAGTCTTTGTTCTAGCTCATCATTTTCTCCCCTAATCATTCTCGTTACTGGTATCACCATTGTTCCCTTTGAGTTCCTTTTTTTTTTTCGGTCTTTCTTTTTCAAAAATTTCTCCCGAATTGCCTTAAAATTGTAATTGTAAAATTGTAATTGCAAAATTGTAAAATTAACCATCAAATTGTACAGTGTGCAGGGTGTAAATAAAGATTTTTACAAAAAATTAGAGAGAATTATTATCCACAGGATATCGGTTTCAAAGAGAAATCGGTCAGAAATGGTTTCTAGAAGTGTCTTCTAGAAGTCGTGTCTTGAAAGCAGTCTTCTAGAAGTCTTCTCAACTTGATGCTGAGCCCACAGTTCTGAGTAGAGTGTGTTGCTAGCGAGTAAGTAATTACTCGAGTTGCATGAGTAATCTTTACTCGAGTAATCGGCGTTTTCGATCGAGTAACTACGAGTAACCCTCTTTACACGTCGAGTAAATTGAATATCTTTACATGTAAAGGGAATTTAAATCAGTTGTTAATCTAAATCAATCACTAAATCAGTTGAACGGTTGAATATCTTTAAAAAGAAGCGTATATAAGGCAGCGTTTATAAGGCGGTGTATATAAGACTACGTATATAAGACGGTGTTTATAAGGCGGCGTATATAAGGCGGCCGATGTAAGGTAGCGTATATAAGGCAGCGTATATAAGGCGGCGCTCGTGATTTTTGCGCCAATTTTTTTGCAATAATTTTTGCTAAAAGTACGGTACTTTTTCCTAAGGGTGCGCTTTAAAAAAGGCATTACTTGCGAGGAACACACTCTAGTGCTGAAGACCCACCGTAAATAATGTAATAGTACCCCACCCCCATAATGACGGTGCCGAGTGTTGCGTAGTCTAGCTTTGAACGGGTTTTTCTCGACACTGTTTTATGCTACAATGCGCGCTTAGGTATCAAAAATAGCCTGAATTTCAGCTATTTTTTAACACTAAAGACCCATTTTTTGAAAGTAGGAGCGCTTTGAAAAAAATGAAATACTAAAAAACTTTTGCGACTACGCGACTGTACGAGGACGGTGGGGCACTATTACAGGTATTTACGGCAGGTATTTCCTTCTTTCTTCTTCCCCCTTTTCTTTCCTTCTTTCTCTTGGAAAATTAAGCTACCGGATGGCTCAGTCGTTATTGAAATTCTCCAGAAAGCAAAAGATCAAGGGTTAAATCCCTCTCCAAAAATCTACTTTTCTTGTCAATTCCTTCACTTTTTTATTAACGGATCGGATTCCCCGGCTTCGGTGCAGCCCTTCCTTAATTCACCGGCTCGGATCCGACCGTTTCGGTACTTGGAACCTTAGAGACAATATAAATTCTTTTCATGGAAAAGAGATCTTCTTATCTTATTTTTATCATATTCTTATCATATTTTTATCTTATTCTACTCTTATTCTACTCTTATTCTACTCTTATTCTACTCTTATTCTTCTCTTATTCTTATCATATTCTTCTCTTATTCTTCTCTTATTCTTCTCTTATTCTTCTCTTATTCTTCTCTTATTCTTATCATATTCTTATCATATTCTTCTCTTATTCTTCTTCGTCAAAGCAATAATTTGTCAAAAAAAGACCTTTCTGAACGTAATCTGGATCTGGATTCTGAATAATCTGGATTACTTTTCTGGGAAATCCTTTCTGTTTTACTCTTTCGACTCTTTATCATTTCTCATCATTTCCGATCCGATTCCTTAAATCGAATCGGAAATGAAATCACGGTTTTAGCATTTTACACACTATAAAAAACTTCAAGTGACTTTTTAAAGACGATGATCTTCTTATCTTATTCTTCTCTTATTCTTCTCTTATTCTTCTCTTATTCTTCTCTTATTCTTCTCTTATTCTTCTCTTATTCTTCTCTTATTCTTCTCTTATTCTTCTCTTATTCTTCTCTTATTCTTCTCTTATTCTTCTCTTATTCTTATCTTATTCTTTAAAACTTACTTAAAAGTTTGTTTTAAATAGTAAAGAAAGAGCAATTGCTTAAAGCTGCTTAAAGTTCGGATAAATAAACCATAACTTAGCAAGTAAACGAGTCATTTTTCTTGTAGTCTAAAACTTTTTCCTTCGTCTATATCACCTGAAAAATGCAATTTTCTGCAACTTTACGATTACTCATTTGCACTTTTTGTTTCATGAAAAGAAAAATGAAAATGAAAATGAAAATGAAAAAATGAGGGGAATTTTCTGTTTCATTGAACACTTTTCGCCCCCATATGACATAAAAATTGATGAATTTCTAAGAAAGAAATGAAAATTTGCATTTAAATTTGCATTTAAATTTGCATTTGTGCATTTAAAAGTGCATTTTAGCATCAAAAATTAGCCAAATATTAGACAAAAGAAAAAAACAAGAAAAGATATTTATTCTATCAAAAAGTACAAATCGAAAACGCAAAAAAAAAACGGGATTTTTAAAAATAGGCAATTTTTGGCTGAATTTTTCTTGATTTTTGATTTTTTTTTATTTTGTTGCCGATTTTGCGTGGAGGAGATGGATCTACAGGCACCTGCAAATGAAATTTGCATAAAACACATGAAGACACATGAGAGGGGCCCTCATGGTGTATTGGTTAAGTTCTCACTTCCAAACTGAGGGTGTGGGGTTCGGCCCCCCCTACGGTTCTCTTCCCTAGCCCGTGCGCCCAGACCAGACTCGGTCGCTGTTTTCACATTTGAGAGTTGCCCTGAATTTGTTCCTCGCTCTCTTTCTCCTAGCTTTGAAAAACAAATGTTCAATGTAGCTTTACTTTAAGAAACTACATCAAATTAGCTACAAAATGAGCTATTAGGCAAGTTTTTTGGCTGAGTAGAAAATCTTTTATAGCCATTTTAGGGCATTTTTGAACCTAAACTTTGGGGGCTCAAAAAAAATTTTCTACTGAACCAAATGAGCTAATTTCAAAAATTTATTATAAAATATATGTATTATGAACAATTTTTATGTTGGTGACTTTTTGATTGGATGCCCGCAAATACCCTCATTCGTTAGCGGCTGAATTTCGTTAGCGGCTACGACATATATTAGGTTGATGCAAAAGTCTTTTTCATTTTTTTCGTACTTCCGTTAAAAAGTGACAAATGCACCAATTGAACAACGGTTTATTGCATTCGAAAGGCCAATTATTTTTCTGCAAAATGACATTAAAACGAGTTTAAAATGTCTTATGTCTAGATTTTTTTGAGAGCCTGAAGTCGGGTAGTCAAAAAGGCGACGGCTCGATGATGCATTTTAGACGCTTTAGCTAAGGAAACCAATCTTGATGTTAATAAATAAAAGATAGAGCACAAAAAGTTAGATATCTTTTCAGATTTTCAGAGAAATTGATTCAGCCAATTTCTTTATAGAGGTTTTTATAGATTTTTATGAAAAACCCGTTTTCACTCTCGAATTTGCTTGAAAGTAAACCCAAATTGACTTAAAAAGATGGGAAATTGAACAATAAACACTTTTCATTTAGAGCAAACCATAGGTTAATTGATGACTTTGTTATTTTTCAAAAGAAGTACGAAAAAAATGAAAAAGACTTTTGCATCAACCTAATATATCTTTAAATGCTTAAAAATCAGAGTATTCAGTCTCTAGCTGCTGGTTGTCGTTAAGTCGTAGCGGCTCGATCGATCAAAACATCAACATATATTTCTTACACGGATTTCAAGTTTAAAATCTTGTTTCACTTAAAAAAACGAATCGGTCTTTGTACTCGATGAGAAGGTTCTGTTTTGGGCAAATCTCTTTTCTAGACCAAAATCGCATCTAGCTTTCGAATTTCTAAACCTTTTTTTGTGATGGCCCTGGTAAAATGAGGTGGCTGCGAACTTTTGTGTCACCCTGTATATCCATCAAATTTTCTCCACTCCTTTTTTACTGCACTAAAGATCACTTGTTTAAGCCAATAATTATCTGATTATAACGGGTTTTTTTGATGCTTTAAAACGCATTTTATTTCACGTAAACTTGTAAACGAGACACGATAAAGATCGTTTTAAAAGGTTATAGTTTATAGCTTTCTAAAAGCTTATAGTTTTCAATGCTCAGCTTTTTCAGAAAGCCGAATTTCGAGAATTTTCAATTTTTTGCTAATTTTCAATTTTCGAAATGAGTAGATGAAAGGTTTTGGGGATTTTTTTTTGAAGAAGTGAATTAGGAAGGGTTTAGACAAGGAAATGAGGCTAGAAATAGCTGATGACTACAGAAAAAGTGTTGAAAAGATTTGTGTACAATTCGTCATGAGTTCCAGAATGTATTTTGAGCTTAAAGCATGTAAACAAACTCTTTCTGGCGCACTGAATTCGCTAGTCTTCACAGAAAAGCGAAAAATATGCACATAGACCTTTCGACTAAAGTTTTCTCGTTTGAAAAACTATTGAAAACTAGGAAAACTTCAGTGCACTAGATCGGGCGCGTTTGAGAAAAATTTCGGGTAATTTAAAATCAAATAAACAAGCTACTCTTTCGCAAAATACTTTTTAAAAACTTTTGCTCAAGTTTTCAATCGTTTCCAAAGCTATACTGCAATCTCGTATTCGATTTCTGAAGCCACAATCATTGCATAAATCATTTTTGCCCCTCAAAAACGTGATTATCTTGAAAGGTTAGCCTATTTTCGTTGCATAATTTCTGCGAATCAAATCGCAAAAGATCTCCTTTTTCTTGAAAAAGCTCGCAAAAGATCTCTCGAAAAGGAAGGCAAAAGAACAAAAGAGAAGCTCTCAAAAGAAATTTTTTTTCGACCCATTTCCACACCCATCAAATTATGAATAGCAAATTGGAGAATTTATTCGATTTTTTTCGATCTCGATGATGAGGATTTATTCATTCCCATATCTCATTTATCCATGAGGATTATCTCATTTTGACTTTTCGCCAAGAGTTTCTTGGGTTTTATAGTGTGTAAAATGCTAAAACCGTGATTTCATTTCCGATTCGATTTAAGGAATCGGATCGGAAATGATAAAAAGTTGAAAGAGTAAGACAGAACGGATTTCCCAGAAAAGTAATCCAGATTATTCAGAATCCAGATCCAGATTACGTTCAGAAAGGTCTTTTTTTGAAAAATTATTGCTTTGACGTTAATCCTCGTCTTTAAAAGGTCACTTGAAGTCACTCGTCTTTAAAAAGTCACTCGCTTCAAAGTTTATGCAATTTGGAATGCTTAAATTTTACTAGAACGGCAAAAATGTTTCGAAAATGAGTTCAAATTCGAGTCTACTTAAAAAGTATAGTTTTTTGTCGAGTTTTTAGCTTTTTACGATGAAAGAAGTTAAGATTTGTGGATTTTGAATTTAGTTTTTGAAACCAATTGGCTAGGGTCAGATCTATTTGTGAAGCTTACCTGGCCAGGGTCTAGTACAAGAAGTAACAAGAAAGCAACGATTTAAGACCAGGGGTTGGGCTTATTTGGTCTTCGCTGTTCATTCTGGACAAAGGTAACCCAAAAATACAAGTCTAATTTGGTTTGAGCTGGTCTGATCGATTGTAGGACATTTGATACGCGCCTCGATTGGCAATCCAACTTTGAGCTCAAATATCTTGGCGTTGGGGTGTTTAATTTCAATATTCTTGGTATCATTGGATGAGTCAAATCTTTCTCTGCTGATTGGTACAGAAACCATTTAAATTGATCAACCCAACACCAAGATATTTGAGATCAAAGTTGGATTGGCAATGGCAAAAGGGGCGGGGCGCGTATAAAAGGTCTTTCTGGTCCGCCCCTTTTGCCAATCCAACTTTGAACTCAAATATCTCGGTGTTGAGCTGTCCAATTTAAACAGTTTTTGTACCAATCGATAGAGAAAGCCTTGGCGCATCCAATGATACCAAGAATATTTAAATTGGGCAAACGAAAGCCGAGATATTTGAGCTCAAAGTTGGATTGCCAATGGCAAAAGGCCAATGCCAATGGCAAAAGGCCAATGCCAATGGCAAAAGGCCAATGCCAAGGGCAAAAGGCCAATGCCAAGGGCAAAAGGCCAATGCCAAGGGCAAAAGGCCAATGTCAATGGCAAAAGGCCAATGCCAATGCCAATGCCGCGTACAAAAGTCCGATAACGACTGACCACTTCTGGCAAAGGACAAAGCCGTTTGGGGCTGGGAAAAGAAGGTTTTGGAATCAAAATTTTTTTGGATTAAAACTCTTCTTTGTCTATTCAGTTTCAATGACCGGATTATTGTTAGATTCAACAGAAATTTGTCCATCTGTAAAGCTAATTCACGTATTCAGCTAATTGGCTCACCCAATTGCAGCTACAAAGCTTTCTACACTTTTTTGTCTCAAATTTACCACTCACAACAAAAGTTTCCCGTGTTTTCACATCAAATCTCACATTTTCACCTACAATATAAGGCGGCTTAAGCAAAAAAAAATGCGAGTTTTAAATGAAATCACGATTTTTCTCTGTAATCCAGGTGTAAAAGGGCTGTTTTTCGAAAAAATAAACCCCAAATTACAAAGTCAATTTTGTTTTTGAAGCAAAGATTTGTTAATTCCAAGTTCCAAGTAAATTATACAATCTTTTTGCTTCACACGGAATGAAATGAGGTGAATTTTTCACAGCGGAATGAAATGAGGTAAACTTGTAACTAGGAATCATTTGAATTAATCGCTAATCTTCGTTTTTCTTTTTTTTCGCTCTTTCTTTACAGTCTACTAGTCAAAAAATCTTTGGTCAAACGGAAAATGCGAATAAACTTCCAAAAAATCATCATTATTTTGCTTTTGCATGGAGGGATTTTGCGAGAAATCCTTTTGAGAGGTGATTCACGATGAGAATTGAAAGAAATTTGAGAATTCTTCAACTATTGCCTATAGTTCTTCCACTATTGTCTATTTTGAGTCAGACAAGCGCGCTTTTGAGTGCTCAAAGTGAGCTTGCTCGGTCTTAAGCAGCGCTCCGTTTACCGCGACTCAAGCAACGTCTCGAGCTGCTCAACTACCGTCACTCTATCCGATCTCAACGTGCCACAATTACCACCCAAACCACAGTAAACCATACCCAATACCATAATCTTAACCTGATTCTAGCACATGGATTAACAATAAATCTAAATTGTAGTTTAACCGGGTCCAATCAACTCACATCACTATTTTCTGCCCCAGAATCGACTCGATAGATGAAGCTTCGGCGGGACGATGACCACCGATTTTGGAATTCGCTCTTGCACCTCGATTGGTAACAACAAATTCATGTCAGAATCCTGAAAGATTGAAAAATGATCAATGATTTTCGAGGGTTTTTAGGTTTTGAATCCAGGCTGAACTCATTGAGACTGGAGGTAAATGAGCATTTCATGCTTGTTCCAACTAAACTTGTAAAGAAAATAACTTTTGGTCCTCTTTTGCCGTTGGCCATTTAAGATTTTTCTGGTTTTCCTCACCACCAACCCATCGATTTTGACTATTTTGATTATCATTCGATGCAGAACATAATTCCGCGTCGAATAATATCAAAATTTGATCATAATGGAATATCCACGCAAAGTTGCGAGGCAAAAGGTGAAGTCCCGCCCATAATGAGCGAGACTTAATCTTTTGCCGTTGGCAATTTAAGGTTTTTCCTCTTTTTCTCACCACCAACCCATCGATTTTGACTATTTTGATTATCATTCGATGCAGAATAAAATTGCGCATTGAACGATACCAAAACCAATTCAAAATATAATATCCACGCAAAGTTATGAGGCAAAAGGTGATAATGGGCGGGGTTTAGGTTTTTCGCCAACAACTTTGCGTGGATATTACATTTTGAGTTGTTTTTTGTATCATTCAATGCGCAATTTTATTCTGCATCCAATGATAGTCGAAACAGTCAAAGCCGATGGGTTGGTGGTGAGAAAAAGAGAAAAAACCTTAAATTGCCAACGGCAAAAAGGACTGACAGATGTTTTCCTTTCAAATCTAGGCCCAATTCTGTAATTTAGTGCTTTCTCATAGGTTTTTTTTCATAAACCGACTTTAAAAGTGCTAAACAACCTTCAAACTTCAAAGCGCTTATAAATCTTGAACACCCGATACAATTTCCCATCAACATCTCAAAATGATATAGTTAAAAATACACACTCCCCAAAGGAAAGTGCAGTTTTTCTTAAGCCTTTTTCTTAAGGAAGTAATTTTGTACTTTTTTTGGCTCAAAATTTTCATCCGACGTGAGTTTATCCCCATTTTCCATTTCCATTCAGTCAAGCGTCCAAAAGAGTAGCGATGAGGAAAGGAATTTGGAAAAAAAAACTCTCATACAATTATAAAAACAAGTGTCGAACTTTAAAAGCAAAGAATATTTTGAAAGAAATCTTTAAAAGCCAAAAACTAGAAATACCTAGTTTTCTAAGCTAAAGTAAACCAGGAATTTTGGGTTTAGCCAGCCGTTTACTAAGGTTAGCCAGCTGTTTACTAAAGTTAGCCTTAGCCAGCCGTTTATTAAAGTTAGCCAGCCGTTCACTAAAGTTAGCCTTAGCCAGGCGTTTACTAAAGTTAGCCAGCCGTTTAACAGAATTAGCCAGCCGTTTACTAAAGTTAGCCAGCTGTTTACTAAAATTAGCCAGCCGTTTACTAAAGTTAGCCAGCCGTTTACTAAACAATTTTGACTTCTTTTAACCCGCTTCAATTACCCAACTTTCTATACTTTTGTACAACTTGTACATATCGCTTTCAATTTTCCTTAAAGTTCCACTATTTAGAAAGAGTTCAAAGACAAAATTTCCCCTCTTTTCTTTCAAAAATTTCACGTTACTTGCCTCTTCCAGATGAGCCGAAAAAGAGGCAAAAATAATTAAAGTAAAACAAGAAGAAAATGAGAAGAAAAAGGAACAAAAAGACTACGAATTGTAAAGTGGTTAGGAAGGGGAAAAAGAAGTGACATTTATCGGGCGGAAACTTTGCATAATCAGCTTTTTTCGAGTTCAGTTGTTTTTTGATGAATTGAAGAGTTTACTCGAAACGTGAAACGTGAAATTTACGGGGTAACGATAAAGAAAAGACTCTGAATTTACTGTTAATACGCTGAAATTGACTGTTAATACGCTGAAATTGACTGAAATCTAGACAAAATTGCGTTTATGTTCAGATGAGAAGCATTATATTGAGTTTAAATTTCATTTTAATCATTCTAATTTCATTTTCATTTCATTTTAATCAATTTCATTTCATTTTAATCATTTTAATCCAATGTTATTGTAAAAAAATCACTTAGAACCGTCCTTTTCAAACGCTGAAGGGGCATTTGAAGTTGAAAAGAAAGAAAAAAAAGGAATCGCATACATTTTAGGTTTGGAAAAACTGCAGTTTTCCTTCTATTAGGTTAGCAAGAAAGTTTTTGCACAGTTCTAGCCTCCAGCGTATCGAATTCCAATCAACTTTCTTGCCAACCTGGAACATTGCCAATTTCCCCCCGAATCCAGAGTTTTAAAAAGGTTTTGAAATATAAAAAGTTTCTTGTCTTCTGTCTTATGTTGGAAGATTTTAGCTCTGGTTTTACTGTAATAAACATCGAGTTGCCTAGTTAAGGCCAAAAAGGACAAGTTTAAGGACAAGTTTTCTGAACAAAAAGTCGAAACTGGATAATGTCTCCAAATTTGAGGGGCTTTTTTTGAATCGTTTGAATTGTTTGACTGAAAATCTTTGAGCATTTTGAACTTGAGCTCATTGAACTTGAGCTAGTTGAACTTGAGCTCATTGAACTTGAGCTCATTGAACTTGAGCTCATTGAACTTGAGCTCATTGAACTTGAGCTCATTGAACTTGAGCTCATTGAACTTGAGCTCATTGAACTTGAGCTCATTGAACTTGAGCTCATTGAACTTGAGCTAGTTGAACTTGAGCTCATTGAACTTGAGCTCATTGAACTTGAGCTCATTGAACTTGAGCTCATTGAACTTGAGCTCATTGAACTTGAGCTAGTTGAACTTGAGCTCATTGAACTTGAGCTCATTGAACTTGAGCTCATTGAACTTGAGCTCATTGAACTTGAGCTCATTGAGCCCATTGAATTTGAGCTCATTGAATCTCTTTTATTCTATTGATTTCTCCTTTTTACCTCTCCGATTTGGTCCTCGGCGGCCGGCTCATCCAACAAGCGTTTCCCCCAGAAAATTCGCGATCCACCGACTTTCGACTTGACGGTGTCTCTGGAAGAAATTCCCTTTAGAAATCGATTTTTATATTAATAATTTAGCATTAATCTTTAGCTAATATTGAAAAGTAAACTTTGAAAAGCAAATATCGAAAAGCAAATTTTGAAAAGCAAAATTTGTTATTGCAAAGGGAAACTTTTGTCTCTGTTGCCTTATTTGTCTGAGAGCCGGTTGTCGAGCATCTCTAGGCTTTTCAACTTTAAATTCAGAACTGAATAGCCATTTTATATCTAAATCTATGCATCTAAAGCTGTATTTATTATAAATGCAAATTTTTCGAGCTTTCTCAACTCCACAGCTTCCTCAATCGCAAAATTTGCTTTGCTAAAACGTTTTTCTGTTTTTTCCCAATTTGTAGTCAGCACGAATTTTTGGAATTTTGAAAATTTCCTGTGAAATTCTTCTGATCTTACAACTTTTTTGAAACTTTTTTTGAAAATTCTTGGAATAATCGTCCCACTCACCTTTTCCCCCAAAACCGAGCACTCTGCGCGATTCGAGAGCGGATACCGTCTGCATATTCGGATTGCTGAAAATGGAGGCGAAAGTTTAATGAAATTCGTGGGAAATTTTGAGATTTTCTGAGAACTTCGGTAGATTTTAGCATTTGCAAATATTTCCAAAACGTCTTTGCGGTGTTCGGTTGTTCTTTGGACTCGGTTTTCGTGGGCCTTTCACTGCATTCAATTCTCCGTTTTGCTTTCTGCATCGCTTTTCCTAGCACCGAAAAAACGAGGAATTCAGCGCGCCAGAAAGGATGTGTTCTCAAAAGCTGCGCACCCTGGAGAACAAGTCGATTTACAAATAGTGCACTTTGTGCTCAAAGAAAGGAAGTACCTATCCTCGTCCTATGACTACTTGAAAGCCTTTATATATATACGAGCTAACGTGCAGATCGGATTCGGACGTTAGCTCGTTTATATACGGACGTTCATTTGCGAATTAAACAGATCAGATCGTAGATCCGATTCGGACGCAGACGCAGATCGGATTCTGACGTCCGTGTAAGAACTAAACTCTTGAGTTCGTAAACGGACGTTCGAAACCGATCTGGACGTCCGGATCAGATAAGGACGTCCGTTTACGAATTAAACTCAAATGCTAATTTGTTGTTAATGAAACTGTTACGTCCGAATCCGAATAGTCGTCACGTTCCGAAAATGAAGTCCGAATCCGGACACGATCTAGGAGAACCAGGTTCCTAGGAGAATAGAAGGTCGGAGCTGGGAGAATCAATGTTGGGAGAATTTTCTAAAGTGAGGAGCCTAGGAATAGCTTAAAAAGTGGCCTAGGAAGAAAAAGAATAGCCCTATAGGCGCCTAATATAATGGAGATTGTGTTCGGATTCAGTTTCGGAACATGACGACTGTTCGGATTCGGAGGTAACAGTTCCATCAACATCAAATTATTGGGTTGGGGAGAATGAGTCGGCGCCCAACTTTAAAGGGACTTTTTGCACACATAAAGCCTTCTTTAAACATACGTTTGGTTTCATCAAAAGGATCCACTATTTCTCTACAAAATCACTTTTGAGAGATTCCACAAAGCTTTTCTTTCGTGGAGTTTATGGACTCCCAAACACAGCTAGTCAAAATGGCAAAGAGCCCGACTCATCATTTGAGCAGTTTCTTTCACATAAACCTTCTTTGGTGTTTATATAAAAAAGATCGAGCACATTCAATTACTTAAGTTGCCAAATTTGCAGGAAGATCCCACCAATGGTTTTTTCTAGATGACATTTTGTAGTTTTTGTGAAAAAATGGCTTTTTATTGAGCGGAGGCGCTGTTTGAATTTTCTTTTAAATGTCATTTTGTAGAGAATTAGTTAACCATTCTACTGATATCAAACGCATATTATTTGACGAAGTCGAATAGAAGTTTTAGACATTTTTTTGATTTTCGGCGCCGACTCATTCTCCCCAACCCAATAGTATTTAAGTTTAATTTGTAAATGGACGTCTGGATCCGATCTAAAGTTTAATTCGTAAACGGACGTAACATATAAACTTTATTCGGCAAATGAATAAATCGTCCAGCAAAATTTTCCAGAGCATCGACTTGGATAGGGATTTTAAAGCGTGCCCGAATACCGTAACTCGTCACCCAGTTAATAGTTAATAGTTAATAGCTACAAGAACCAAATAGTTTCCACCGTAATCGCAAAGACTACTATAGCCAACTAATATCTTGGAGAAAATATCATAAAGTCTTGTTACACGCAACATTGTACCCAATTTTTTTAATGAAAACAAAAAACAGAGCTTTGCTGACCGACAAATCCTTCATTTTCTTGATCGTTATTCTTTTTCTAATGTAAGCCTTTCGTCACTAGACAATTCGTCACTAGACATACAACACTAGACAGACAACACTAGACAGACAACACTAGACAGACAACACTAGACAGACAACACTAGAATTTCGACAATTTCCTCAAAGAAAAACCTATCTCATGATCTTATTTTTGCTGTGAGCGATATGATAAATGTTTACGGCTGAAGTGAATATTCATTTTTTCCCCGCCAGGCACCCCTTCCTTGTTTTTGTCGGAGTGAAAAAAAAACCTCTCTCACCTCGAAAACAACCCCATCCCATCAATTTTCTCCAAATTCACTGAATGACAATTATTCTGATCTCAAAGTCGGTTTATTTTTCTACGTTCTCGAGAAACAAATGACGTCTGAGAAATCGGAGTTGTTTGGGAAAGATTTGAAAATAAAGAATCTACTGAAAATGGTAATTTTCGTTGATTGATCACGGTGCAAAAGGGGCGAAATGGCTCATTGATTAAACATTTGAAATGAATCTTTGAGACAAAAACAAGGCAAAGACTTTTTAATCATGGAATAGTTCATTTAAAAAAATGAATTGGAGCTGAGTAAATGAAATACAAAAGCAATTGGAGCCGAATAAATGAAATACAACTCTGAACCAAATTTTTGACTCTAGTTTCCAGAAAGAAATGAATTTTGACAGGGTTGACAAAAAGAAGGGCCAATTTTTAAATCAAGCCGAGTCAAAGCCAAGGTTTTTGGCTAAATAAGGTTGGCCAACCAAAACCAAAACCAAATTCCAGGCAAAAGCCAACCAAAAGCAATTGGCTTGGCTTGACTAGCCTTGGCTTTAGGCAACTATTTTGCTAATTTTATAGCTATTGGGTTAGATCACTGCTTTAAAAAAGTGTAGCGACTCCGACAACTTATCAATTTGCATGAAAACTACAGGTTACCTTGTGGTAAAAGGTGGAAAGCTTGGACAAAATTGCGTAGACATCGCCTTTTAAAACCTCCATCCTTTTGCACATTCTGTTTCCCCTGTTTCCACAATCTTGTAGGTCATTAGTTCCAAGTTTCTCTCCGTTTTTTTTGCTGTTTTGTTTCTATTGTTTATATTCGTTCTTTATTGGTTTGGTACACGATTTTTTTGTCTTCAAAACCACTTTTTCTGGGGTACTTTCATGCGTAGATTCCGAAAAACACAACGAGAGCTTGGGAAAAGGCGTTTTAAACCGAGTTTCGGGGCTCCAAATTGCGTGCTCATACCGTGTGATGGTACAGAGGGAAGATGCTTCAAAATGGTCTCTTAAAACATTTTTTTGAAGCCAAAACACTTCTACTAGCATAATTTAACCTACTTACTAGGTTTCTGATCAAATTAGAGCAAAATAAAAAAATTATTTTCAAATTTCGATCATGTGGTCCCCACATAAGTCAAAATCGGTCAAAAACTCAAAAAATATTTTTTTCAATTTCTTTTGCTTCTACCAGTCAATTTAAGTTAGGAAATGAATATTTAGTGATTAAAATTGGTTTTGGCTCTAGTTTTGACCTTGAAAAGTGCCCAAATATTCGATAGCTTGAGCTTCATATAGGGAAGTACACTATAGCCTCAAAACTTGGAGGCTGCAGCTTTGGAGCCCCAAAGCTCGGTTTGAAACGCTTTTTCCCAAGTTCTCGTTGTGTTTTTCGGAATCTACGCATAAAACTAGGCCAGAAAAAGTGGTTTTGAAGAAAAAAATGTGATACAAGCAGCCTTTTCGTTGAGACAAAAAAGCTTGTTGAGTCTAACATTGTTAAGCTAAATCCCCAGACTCAGAAATATTCAAAATTCTTTCATTTTCCTCTTCTAATCTTAAAATTTATAACTTATAAAGAAATTTGAGCTCTTCATCTTTAAGCCCATTCATTCAAAGATCCCTTTATTTTCTTGCAGCTCTAAAAAAAACTGGACTAACTTCGGGAAGCACGCTATATGCACACGAACAATTGTGCGCCACAAATCGTAAATGGAGATTTCCCAGGGGAGAAAGAAAAACCAAAGAAAGAAAGAATCAAAGAAAAAGTCACAATGAGGTCATAAGTGTTCCTTTTGATCATTGAAGAGAATCTTTTTCATTGATGGGAATCTTTTTCATTCAAAACTTTTTCAACTCACCGCTACATCGGGCAGCTCTGTCTCGAGGTCAGCCTGAAAAAGGAAACGTGAAAGCGTGAAATTTTACGGATAAATTCCCAAGAAATTTGATCGAAATTTGATCTTTTAGCAGTGTTCTTCTCAAAATTCGGCTGAGGAAAGGATTTTTTGCAAAAAAAAAGAGCGGATTATTACGTTTGTACTTTTAATTTCGATTGAATTGAAAAGTTCTCTACGTAGAAATGAGCTCACATAGTTAAAAAAGAAAGTATTATAATAAATTCTAAAGAAAATTGTTTAGAGATTAATTTTGAGCTTATACGCAACCAGTCAGCGTTGCTAAAAGTTCTTTTAGAGTTTAAAAAGCGAGTAACTATTGGTTGTTTAGGTGCTAGAGTTGAATGAATTTGTCGAGCGATTTAGAAACAAGCTTAACTATGATTAAAATAGTGTAAAAATCTATGGACTCTCAGCTTTTTGTTAATGGTTTTAAAGGTTTTAAAGGTTTAAAGGTTTTAAAGGTTTAAAGGTTTAAAGGTTTTAAAGGTTTAAAGGTTTAAAGGTTTTAAAGGTTTAAAGGTTTAAAGGTTTTAAAGGTTTAAAGGTTTAAAGGTTTAAAGGTTTAAAGGTTTTACAGGTTTAAAGGTTTAAAGGTTTAAAGGTAAATCATGTTCTACAATAGACTCAGCTGAAAGGAAATAGAAGTTTTTGACAATCTTGAGCAGAGTGTCCAAACCGATACAGGTTTTGTACAAGCTGATACAGTGTTTTTTTTTTTTTTTTAAAAATTTGAGAATTTTTTTTTCCGGGGGGGGCTTGTTTAGGGTTTTTTTTTCTTCTTGGGGGGTTTTTCGGTTTTGTTGTCGCTTAGCATCTAGTTCTTTTACAAGTTTTGAGCAAAAAGTGCACAACACTGGCTGGCATTTGGCTGGAATTCTGTGCTCAAATTTGTAAACGCACCCTTTCTAGCATACTGGATTCTTCTGTTTCTATCAAATCTTGAGAAAATCGAGAAAATCGAGAACCCAGTGCGCCAGAGAGGCTGCATTCAGCCGTGAGCTTTGATGCTGTGATGCGTAAGCTGTGATGTGGGTGTAATCTATTCGGGAGCTGTTCAGCTGTGTAGTCGTTTAGCATCTAGTGCTTTTAGAGCTTTTAACCAACCTGTACAAGTAGGGCGAGGATCGAAAGAAAGAAAAAGGCGATGGTGTGCATGAGATGCATCTGTACAAAGTGATAAACTTTTCAGAAAGATGCGGAAAAATGGGGAAAAGGAGGAGAAAGGGGTGGGACTTGTTGAAGTGAAAAAAAAAGAAAAGAATCCCTCCATCTATGGACTCTCTTCCGATGAATTCGTTCTCCACTCAATTTCTCATTTTCTCTCTTTACCCAACTTCTTTGTCTAATTGAGAAATTTGCATTTGATGTGGGCGTTTACAATTAAACGACAAAAAAGCGAGCATTTATTGGGTTAACATTTATTGGGTTAGCAAGAATTTTGTGTGAATGTGAATGTCATTATTTTATGGGAGGAATGAGATCACGAGTTGAATGGATAAAAGATGCTTTTGGGTTTAAAAGAAGGGAAATTTCCAAAGAAGGTGTGAGACTTTTAAACGACGATGAGATGCAAATGACGGACATCGGACATGACGAATTCGATGCTGTCTTTATTTTTTGCCCACAGGCCCTGGCTTTCGTGAAAAGCGCATACAAAGTTTTGGCCATTTTCGGGAAACTCTCAACTTACCTATCAGAGGTAAACTCTTACCTTACCTATGCCGAAAGGAAGCAAAGCAGTGATGGTTTAGAAAGCAGTGACAGTTTAGAAAGCAGTGACAGTTTAGAAAGTAGTGCGTTCCTTATCAAATTATCGCGATCTTTGCTCCCGAGTTCGATTCCTCCTCTACTATTTTTTTGTAAAACTTCCGCAGAACATTTTTTGCAGTTCCTAGAGTTTTTGCTTTTAGCTTTTTTTAAGCCTTTTTCCTTCTTGAACTATTTATGAATAAAGAGCCATTTACGGTGAACAATCATAATGAAAAGACTAAAAAAAATGGGAAAAGCAATAACAGTTCATGCATTTACCACATTTAACGCTAGTTCTAAACAATTAACTTCATCACATTCAATAATATTGAAACACTCCTCAATTGGGGTCTTGAATGGAAGGGATTGAAAGGGAAAAAAACCAGAGGCATACCAGGCATAGGATCGAAAATCGAGGAAACAATCGGCAGCAAATTGAGCATACACCAAAGAAATGGCACAAAGAAGATTGTGTGCAAAGAGAAAGACTCTTGGTCAAGTTTTAAAGACCATGACAGCTTGAAAGCGTGCCAACAGGCAAATCCGTTGAAGTACACGACATTCCTCCAGGTCCGAAAATTACCGAAACTTTGCTGCTTTTCACGAAAGCCAGGAACCGTGGGCAAGAAAATAGGCACAGCATCGGATCCGTCATTTGATAGGCGTCATTCGATTTCGATAGGCATTTGCATCTCATTGCCGTTTAAAAGTCTCACACCCTCTTTGGAACGTTCCTTTGCCAGCAAACCAACTTGTTCAGTTTGGACAACTCTGCCTAATATTGTCAAAAAGACAATTTGTCAGTCAATCAATGATCACTGAAAACATTGATTTTGTCAAGTTTCGGGCAAGGTAGCCATGACACTGAAATGATTTTCCAAAAAACTCTCAAAAACGGAACAAGCTAACAATTTCGATTCGTCGAAATAGAATGACTGCGAAATCTGGCTTGTCTCCAACGATCTGCAAAGCAATGAGAATAGCTCCATTAAACCCCATTTACATCGAATTTCACTCGAAAAGCACCCTACTACCTACCGTAAATATTCTAATTAGATCATAACCGTAAAGATCCCCTAAAGGAGCGTCGCGTATTCTAAGTCTACTCTCAAATAAACGCTCATATCTCAGCACCAGCACGTTTGTTTTCTGCGCGCTTAGGAATAAAATTAAAGTCGAGAGAATGGATGATCTTTTGAGATAAAACACTTATTTTAGCGTTAATCAGCGATTAAAACGAAATGATTGAAAAGTGGCAAAAAAAGAGCCGATTTTTCATCATTTCGCTGTTCTCTGTAAGCAAAATGTTGTTCAAAATGGTTTAGTTTAGGCCATGGGTAATGGCCGGGCTAAAAGTGGGCTAAAAGTCAGGTTTAGGCAGGTGAACCAGCCTGGCTAACTGACGCTTGGACCAGTCTGGTGGGTTGACCTATCCTAGAACCATCGTTCCCATCCGTAGACTCGGAAAGCCAGCCTATGGCCTATCAGAGCTTTGGGTTAGTCTGAGACCAATCTCTGACATATTTGGACTACCCTAGACAGTAGATTAGTAGATTCCAATTTTTAAGAATGACAGTAGGTTCCTTTTCCAATTTTGGTTCTGCTGAACCAGATTTGTTCCTTGTCCATTCGCCGAAAGGCAGCCTATAAATGTAAACTTCAGAACTGCACCCAATCGGTACATTCTGACATCATACCATTCTCTCAGTCTTACCAGCATCGATAACTTTTCCCTCAAACCAATTACCCAAAAGAATTAGCATTCAAATTTTTCTGGGTATTACCCTTTATTGTCTCAAAAATAGCAAAACATCTGTTTTTTTTGTTTTTTTCTGGCAAATCCAGGTGCTAAACGACCTTTTTAGCCAAAAAGCCAAAGCCAAGAGCTTTATAGTGCTCAAATTTTGATGAAAAATATTCAGATATACGAAAAAGTGGCTTGTGAAAGAGTACAAAAAGTAAAGATTTGCACAAATTGAATTTCTATTGGATTGAAATTGGATTACGGTGGTTTTTGCCACTTTTTCTACAGCTGCAAAATCGCAAGGCTATTAGACTTGATTAATTATGCAAAAGTACAAAAGTACAAAAGAAACTGTGAATATTCTATAGGGAAATTTGCTTTTGGCTTGTACTTTTGTGGTATAATGACTGTATTTTTAAATCTGATGTGGTAAAAGTTGCGCAAAAGAATCTGTGAAGCTTTTACCAATGCACCGTGCATTCAAAGAGTCATTTACTTTTGTGTGTAAAGTAAAGAATGGTTTCAAACGTACAGAATGGTTCGCAAAACAAACTGCGCCAAGCTTGAGAATTGTGACATAAATTCCCCTAGATAAGACCCTAGATCTGTCAGAATTGAGGTTCAGGCTTGGCATCTGGCCTGATTTGGCTTCTAGACTCTAGAGCTTTCATTCTTAGTTCTTAATTTCCGCTTAGGGTTCATCAAAGGCCAAAAGCCAAGTCCAGATCTGCTTTGCTGCTGGTCTCGCTTCCAAATCTTAATCAGAAATCAACTTTCTAAGACTACAGGGTAATCCAAAATGATAGCAACTCGGTATTTGCTCAAAAATCAGCCAACTGCAGTTTAAAAACAATTAAACAACAATTAAACCACTGATAAAATAACTATTTTTATTCATTTTTCAACAAAAAAAATCAATCAGTGAGAGCCTTGAGCGTTAATGCAGGCCTTGAATCGTTTCGGGAATTGACTGTGGCGGCCAGGTCGACTATATCCAGTAGACTAATGTACACTATTTCTTGAGAGAAACACATTTTAGCTATAAGGGCTTTATAATTTTCTAAAAAACGAATGATAAAACGAAGTTTCTAGGAAGTTTATTTTTAACAAAAGAAAAACGAAAGAAATATAAGTTTAGTAGCAGAGAATGAATGAATGCAACGCTACGCGCAAAGTAGCGGTAAGAATTGTAAATTTAGAAACAGAACAATGACAGAAAAAGTTATTTATTAAGCCGCGCCCGGCGCGCCGAGAGATAAGCCGCGCCCCTTTTTGCCAATGGCTGCGCACAGACGAACGGACTGACGGACAGACAGCCCTCAATTCTCTATAATAGATGATTGAATCGCGATGAGCAGATTTCTTGACCTTTCTTAAAATTAGCAAAGTTTTTCAGTAATAATATAAAATCCAATCAAAAAAACGAGAGAAAACAGAAGAGAAGTCAGAAGGAAAACAGAAGGTAAAGCTTTAAGAATGTAAATCAATGGCATCTTAATTGAAGCCGACCCAAATTGTTATAATTTTGGATAACGTAGATTTCTTGGCTTTCAATTATAGCCCGTTACAAAATCTAGGTCAAGCCAAGTCAAAGCCATGACCTTGACTAGTCTTCAGCTTGGTTTCGCCTTCTTTTTGGAAGCTGTTAGCTTGTGTGCTTCGGTTAGAACATCTCTGTATCTCTACCACATCAATTACTTTGTCATCTTTAAGCAGAACAAGTTGTAGCATGTGTTTTCAACAACAAAGTAACCAAATGTAACCAAACGAAAAAGAGGGGAATAGAAAAAATAGCATCCCATAGGGTTCAATTACAGTATTTACGGAATGTCTACCCTGGATTGTTTTCTTTCTCTTTCTGCTTATAGCAGGAAATTATCGTCAACAAAGTAACCAAATTGCTTCCAAAAATCTTTTTTCCAGTTTCCATTCAAAGCTCAACAATTCTTACGCAAAAATCTACGAATTCTAAGCTGCAATTTGATCTGTTTCTTTCATTTTACCCAAAAATAGATACATCTAAATTTTCTAGAAAAAATTGAGGATCTTCGCTTGTCTAGCCATCACTAATTTGAGAGAATTTCCAATAAATATAAATAAAACATTTTGAAGGCCGAAAATTTAAATTTTTTTTGAGTGAATCTCTCCGAGATGATCTACTTATTCGGGTACAAATGGACGGATGAAAATGAATAGTGAATGAGGGAGGAGATCTTTGCTTTAAGATGACAAAAGATTTGTGCAAAAAGCGGGATTTGAGCGTGAGCAGACATCAAAGCAGGGGAAAGGGATGATTTTTGAGAATTGATAAAAGTGAAGCGCTTGAAGTGTTTTTGAAATAAAAAGGCTTTTAGATAATGAAACTTTGGTTGATTTGATGGATGGTCGAGAAAAATGGAGCTGATTGCGAAAATGGAGCTGAATAGATGCCAAATGAACGATGCCAAATGAACGCTTTCTTTTTTGGAAGCTGGTAGCTGGCGTACTCCTGGACAACGAAACAAAAAAAGTGGGTAGATTTACAAGCGAAGGTCACAAGGCTGAGGTGGCCAAATGACCAGATTTTGCAGCTCTGTTAGGCCTTCTTTGTTGTTTAAAGTCGTTTCACAGTGCTGCTCCAGATTGTCGTCAATCTGTTGTTTCTTCCTTTTCGACCTTCAAG